ATTCAGTGACATTCTGAATTTCAGTTCCTCCATATTTTCACTTTTTTGGCTGAGCAGCCCAGTGGACATCTTTGCTCACTGGGCAGGTACGGTACAGAGCACAATTAAATGTGCTGGAATAATCCTGAGAACACTATAGACATGCAACACTCAGTAATTTGCCTCTCAAGGCTGGCACCAGAACAAACACACGACCCTTCTGTCTCCATGTACCAATAATAGCTGTATTTGTTCAAAATATTGCTGTGAATCCCTTCCTTCATCTTTTCAATTTGCCAGACGCCAAAGGCAGCTAATAAATGAGAGCACTGTTCGTGGCCAACATTGCATATCAAAGCTCCAGACACTCTGAGAGGCAAAGCCAGACATTTCCTGAGTGGATTTGCAGAGTTTCAGTATTACTGAGCATAAGCCATGAAGAATCCACACTGTCAGTGGTGTTATTAGCTGCCAGCACGTTCCCAAGGATGCAGTGATATTGTTTGCTGGGATAATTACACCCAAATGAAAATTTTACTCAAATGTCTCTGTCAGGAAGGCAGCCTCTTCTTGGAATTCAGAGTCACCTTCACAGTCCTGGATGGAGAAAGGTTTTTTGGGATGGATTTGTGTCAGCCTGCTGAGAATGCAGCTCCTCATATCCTCCTGAATCATGTCTGATCTGCCTCCAAATACCAGTGAAAGCAACTCCATCCTGCCACCATGCCCAGAGGTCCCAAGCACTCCTCAATCAATTATTAGATCCATTTTTTCCTTGGATTTTCCCAAAGGTTTGATCCAGGTGAGGAAAGAGTAAAAGTCCTATGCAGCAATTTGCCAAATATTCACTGCATCAGCAATAATGTAACCAAAGCTTATTTTCTCTTCTCATTTTCCTTAGGTTCTGGTCTTCCTCAGAGTTACCTGTAGCAAAACCAGACACCCAACAACTCAAAGAAAAGCAGCTGCCAAATGATTTTGTTCTTTATGGGCTTAAACAGAAATATTATGGAAGAGCAATGCCACTTTCCTTTTGAAATTGATTGTTTCTGTTGTAAAGCAGGAAAAGGAGAAAACCTGTTAAAATAAAGTTTTATTCCTTCACCTGTTCCTACAAATACTTGTAATTTTCCAGAAGGTATTAAATATTTTTATAAGCGAGAAAAGTACCTAGGAAAAAGCACTTTTACTAATATTTCCTCTGTAAGGACAGGGAGAGGAAAAAGAGGAAAATGTGAGCTCAAATTGATCTCTCTGCACTGTAAAATTGCAGTATTCCTAATTATGCTTAACTTTCCCTAAAACACACCTAAAAAACCAAAAAGCTAGTTGGATAAAATTAATGTTTTTTAATTCCTTACAGTTGTTATTTTACCAAATCCAATTTCTAAGCAGAAACACTCATTGAACCTGACCATCCTAATTGTTTTAGCCTTGATCATAGAGAGGACTGAACACCAGTTGATTTAAAGAGAATATTGTGAGTGGATGTTTTGAGATCCATTGCAAGCACTACACCAGTGTTTTATTTGTGAAACTTCCATACAGAATTTCAACTTCATTGCTCTGATCTCTTCCTTGCCATCTCCAAATATTCTGTTTTTTTTTTCTCGATTCTTCTTTTACACTTGTACTGTGATTGTTTTTAGTGTGTAAATATTTGTGTTAGGTCTTGTCTTTGAAACTCTTCCTTCTGTGGATTTCAGGGGAAAAAACACTGGGGAAAGGAGGGCAGGAGAGGCAGGAAAGGGAATTTGCTGCCTGTGGATCAGGGAAGCCATTAGGAGGCTCTCTGCTCTAGGCTTTTGACTAAATCATACTCAACATCATGGTTTTAGATCAACTGCAGCCAAACTTTTCCAGTTCCTTTGTTTCCTTCCGCAGCCTGCAAGAAAACTTTCCAAACAGGCATTGAAACCTGTCTTGTTTATATTTTAATGGATGAGGAAATTCTCCAATATCTCAGCTTTACCCCAGGCCCACTGGGACCAGGATTTGGCAGCATTATAATATGGGGGAAAGGAATAATGGTGAGTTTTGCATCAGGTGTCAGCAGGGCTGTGCTCTCAGTGAACAATGGGGACATCAGACATGCACAGCACTGGCCCCAAGTGCTTCTTAGGAAACAGTGTGAGAAGCCAAAGCTAAATCTTCATTTCTCCATATTTTCCATCCATTGTTTTAAGTCATTATTTAGAGCCAGTGCTTAATTGAAAGAACAAAATATGGGCAATGCCAAATTGGAAATAGGAAAAGCAGGTCAGGGATTTGAAAGCAATCAGTGAGGCTCTGGGGCACAAGGAGGTTATTTTCTTAATCTAAAAGTGATAGTACAGAAAGAGAGGAAGCATTACTACACCTTTTTCTTACCTGCATAGATAAAATGAATGCTGGGGGCTTTGTTTTTATTTATTTATATGTTTATTTGTTTACATTTATGTTTTTAAATGGTAAAAATGTCGACATTGGCAGCAACCTGGGCTGCAGTGATCATGCCCTTGTGGTTTTCACAAGCCTGAGGTATACAGGCCAGACATACTGAATTTTAGAAGACCAAACTTTAAATTGTTAAGGAATCAGTGGATACAACCCCATGGACAATTTCCTTCAGGGATAAAGAATCTGTGCCACTCTTTAAGAACCTATTTATTCAAGCAAAGAGCACTCAATTCTTCCTTTGGAGCAGCTGTAAGAGCTGTGCAAATGAAACACCTGGGGAGGCTGGTATGGCAGTAGTTTCAGATTGAATCACCACATTGCTGCAATAAATTGGACTGGGAATGCTGAATGCTCTTTTGGTTGTGTTTACCCTTTGTAAAGATGAAGAAAGAGCCCCTTAGGAGGTCTTTTCTCTTGCAGTTGGTGGAAACTGCAGTCCGCTGGGGTTTGGATAAGGTCCTGTGTCATGTTTTCAGTGATTTCTGAACATTGTACTGGTACTGGAGCAGTTTAGAAGCTGCCACATCCACCAAGTGCACATCTTTAATACCTGTGACCAAATCACACAGGAAAACAGTACAGAAGTCAACAATAAGTTACAAGGCTGCTTTTATTAAGACGCCAAAATTCCTATAAACAGACTCAGTCACAAATAACAGTTTCTGCTGAGCATGCAAGGTATCAAATACAAGTTACTGGTTGACATTGCATCCTGAGGAGTAGTGCTCAGCTTTTGAAAATGGCATAGCTCCACCAAAATCAGCAGGCAGATCTCTAATTCTGTCACCTCCAAGAAGTTCATGATTGTAAGTACTAAAAACTAGAAAAATATTTATAGCAAAAGAGCTGATCCTGTCACTGAGTGCAGAATGCAAACACATTGCACATTTGACAGCAAATTGAGCAAAAGTTAAAAGATTCCGACATAACAAGAACAAATGGTTATGGTTGTCCAAAGAAGTTGGACACTTCCCCATCCCTGGAAGTGTCCAAAGACCCTGGAATAGTGGAATTTTCCCTGCCCATGGCAGGGACTTGGAGCTAGGTGGTCTTTAAGGTCTCTTTCAACCCAAACCATTCTATGATTCCACATTCATCAGATTAAGACTGCAAAGGTAATTTATAGTTTCACCAATTACAACTAAATGGATTTTTATTTTTTTTTAGATCAGGATCTGGTAACTCTTATTTCTATAAGGAAAAGACAAGTCAAAGTGTCTTGCTCCTTATAGAATCACTTGAATCTAAAGCAGAACACAAATGATTACTCTGAAATTTATTGATATATTTAATAGGTTTATGTAAAAGCTCTAAAATCAATCAGTACAACCTTTTGTGAAATGTGGAAGTCTTTTACCCAGTAATCTTACTACCTAATGGAAATTGGACTAGGAGGATAGAAAAGCCACTTTCCTATGCTGTTCTGTACCCAAAAATCAGCACCTCAGTGCTATGACTACTTAGAAACATTCATGACTTCAAGCTAAGCACCATTTTCCACTAGGAGTTATTTATAATGGTGTCCATTGAGCTTAAGGAGGAATTTATTTATAAGTTACTAAGTTAGATGTGACCCAGGCACAGCAGATTATCACTGTGTAGGAGGAGTGACTGCAGCAAGACCAAGGCCTGGTGGGACAAGTTATTGACACCTCTTCACCTCCCATCTTCCAGCACACTCACTGAGGTGGAGATTTGGGGCAGCAGAGAAGTGCAGCCCAGGAAAGAGCCCTGCAGGGGATGCTGACTGCATAAAGAGATTTTTGCTCCAGTTTATCCAGCTGACCAGACTGGTGTTGTGCCCAATGGACCGTGTAAAGTGAGCCTGTGCTGCTGCACCGACGGATGGTCTTGCAGCCAGGCAAAATTCAGGTCAAATTTAGAACTCTTGGTTTGCAATTGGAGAGCTCTCACTTAGGTGGGCATCAGTGTGTGGCTTGACTGTACAACCATTAGGGTCTAACTGAGCTGAATACACAGGGACCAATTGATTTATCTGGAAAAACATGGGCTGCCAGCAACGAAAATAGCTTCTTTTTTTTCCCCCTTTTTTTTCCACTGAAGCTTTGTTAATTAGAGAATGAATCAGACTTAAAAACTCATGCTGAAGAACACCCTGAGCAGGTTAAGCCCCAGATCCACAGTGGCTTTTCCTTACTTGCTGGCCAGTCCAATGCTTGTTCCCCAGCTTCTGTATACCTAAGGCGTTGCACAGTTAGCTCTTCAACGCTGGTGCAGCTCAAAGTTTCAACCTCACCCTGAGTAAACAGCAAACTACAGACTGAAAAAGAGATCTCTCAGACAGTTTGCTGATTTACTTCCTCGAATATCAATGGAAACATGCAGCTTGTCAATATTAATGGCACAAGTGATGCTAAGATGAGCACATAGTGATCTGCCATGCTGAGAAAACCAGATCTTGAAACTCAGAGAGAAACCCAGATGTCTTTGTTTTCTTCCCTTCTATTTTATCAGTGGAAAAACTGCCAAAATTCACTTCAACCTGGAGCTGTTGTCACAAAGAGTTCTTAGGATACCAGGGAAGAGCCAGACTGCTGAGAAAAAAGAGGTGCAGGGGAGAAAGGGGGTATAGAAGCTTTTTATACATTACATTGATTTGAAAGACTCAGTGATGTGTAGAGCAAGGAAAGCAAATATTGAGTGAAGACAAACTTCAGTTTTCTATGTGATGAGACATGATCCCACTAGAAAAAAAATAAACCAAATTAATCAGGATTGAGACAGGTAATCAACTCCCTTCCAAAGACAATAAATACATAGAAAAGAAGAGCTGAGTGCCAGCTCCAAAATGGAGCCATCAACTGAAGCTCCATCATGATGTAGAAGTGCTATGAGCCTGACAAGATCCTTTATGCTGCAGCATCTTTGCACAACTCCAGAATTCCCATTACTATGAGGTATTACTCAGGAGAGCAGAATGATGAATGCAAGACAAGCCATTCTTGCTCTGTGGAGAGACTCAGAGATGTCATGTGCAGGTTTTAATTCAGTGAACCTCAATATGCCCTTTTTGCTGGGTTATGGCTCCATGGTGGGATTTTTGATGGAACTACAGCTGCTGGAGGAGTCCCAGGTACCTTCCCTTGGGGCTCCTGGCACATCCAGCCCTTGGGAAGACACCAGAGCATCACCCTCACCTGCAGCCATCTCCCAGGAGCTGCCCAGAGATGGGTAAGAGGGATGGAAATGATGAAAGAGATGGAAATACAGCAAAATGTGACCATTCAGGACCTACAGGCAGGAAGCTGGGGTAGTGCTCCCTGCCCTTCCCCTGGGGTGTACTTCAAACACTGCTGTGCTCAGTGGATTGAAATGAATTATCTGCAAATGCCACGGGCATGTGTCCAGTGCCTTTACTGAGGCCATGGCATTGTCCTGTGGGAGGCCTGCACCAGGGAAGGGTCACTGACTAACTCTGGCAATAACGGCAAATAAACCCTTTTCCAGGAACAGAATTCCATCCACAGCAAACATCCTTGAGGTGTGAAGTGCTGTTAGGTGCTGTTCCTCAGCCTGCCAGCTTTCTCACTTCTCTCTCCTCCCCTTAAAGAGACAAGCATGCAAATGATGCTGAGCTGCTAGAATAATTTTACAGAAAAAGTGATGAATCCTGTGGTATCCTGAAAAAGTGTTAAATTCCCAAGACCATGTGGCAGGGGTAAAGTCTCCTCAGAACTGTGTTTTCAGACTCTCTGCAGGCACATGTAAGCACTGCTTATGCATCTCAATATTTCAAGCTCTTTATGTTTAACATCCCACTACTTTCTCAAAAAAACCCTCAAAAAATAATAATTAAACCCAAGCTTTTGCAGAAAGAGGTAACTTATTAGGGAAATTTATAAAGAGAGTGGTAAAGTTTCTCTCCTTTATTACACTAGTCACTGATTTAAACCCAAAAATTACATGGCGTTTTTGTGGAAATGCTTATTGGTGTTTTGTAAGGTAATGTGTCATTTGCTCTGACTAAGATCAAAGCCATGAAGGAAGATGAAGAACAAAATGCCGTTTTCCTCCTCTCGTAGTTTGCATCATTTGAAAACAGGGAAGAAAGTAGGAATTTCTTTCTTACTTGTATGGCCTTTACCCACAGCAAAAAGGACAGCGTGTTCAAATATTCTCATATAAAAAAGTGGTCATCTACAAGTATTTCACCATTTCAGAAAGAGAGAAACAGCTAAAAAATGCAACTGATCATAAGTGAGTACTTACATGTGGTAACCTGTGAGTCACTAATCATAGAACACTTGGTAGCTGAAGTTGTCAGACTTGACCCTGAGGTTGTATCTTCCTGTCTTTCGCTGGTACTGGAAAATGAGAAGGGTCACAACTCCCAGCACAAAACCAAACACAGCAAGGGTGATGAGGATGATGTATCCAATTCCCATTCCAGCCTCCTTCTCTCTCTTGGAATCAGATGCTAATGAATAAATAAATAAATAAATAGATAGATAAAGAGGTGAAAGAAAAAATTTTGAAATTCCTAAATTTTGAAATTCCTAAATCCAAGCCTGTTAATTAGCCAATGTGCCAGTACAGAACTGTGCTACAGAAGTGTGTCAGCCTTCTGGGGAAGGTGCTTCTCCTAGAAAGAGTGTGAGGACAGACCACGTTCTCTTTTTACACACCAGTGTAGAGTCCCTGCAGACATGAGTGTGATTTTCAGCTAAAGTAAGAATTAAGGAATTAGTACTGGTGACTTTTTAAAATGCTGCCTTATTTTCAGGAGTGCTTTAGAGATGGAGTATTCCCCTATCTTAATCCTGCCTCCATTCATCTATGATTATAAAAATGACTTGATTAGCTTTTGTCATGTATGTAACTGCTCTTCAAACACAGAGTATTTGGGGAAGGATTCTGTGTGTCTGCTGGGTCTCTAGCAGAGATGTGGCTGAGTGGAGTGACACTGGTTTTGTCACCACGGGCTCAATGCTGCACCTGAGCAGTGACTAGAGCCAGCTGAGCAGCCTGAGGTTGGCTGCAATGTCTGCACAGGTCTGGCAGACAGGGCACAGGACCTGCAGGACACCTGTGCTCTGCTGGAAGAGCACCCACGCTCAAAGAATGACCCAAATGCCCCAGTGAGGGCAAGAGTCAAGTCCCACATGGCCAAGTGCCTCCCAAGGCACCACAGATCACAGACAGAAAGTGTTCTCCTGGTTCCCTTTGAAACACTTCCATATATTTGTCCAAATCTGCAAGCAGAAACCCCTCTCCCTTTATTTTTATGCCTGTCTTCATGTTTGTACAAGTTCTTATAATGCCCTCCTGCAAAGGCTCTATGCACCTACAAAAACCTGCTTTTGTTTGCTTGCATTTTCAGGACAGCGCTTGTTTTGCCAAGCACTTGTGTGGTACCTGAGGTACACAGAAGATAAATATCACTGCACACGCACCTGCAATTAGAGACAAAGGTGTTTGGCCAAAGGGCACTGCTGGCAGCCACAAAGGTCAGTAAGAGCAGTGTTCAAGCTACAGACACCCAGGGCATCATTCCCAGACAGGCCAAAGCAGTGCTGTGTAATATATTCAGTCTCATTTTTGAATTTCACCACGAAACAAAGGAATAAAGTAGAACATGAACAGTGGAAATGGCAGCCTGTAGCCAGACACAGAGCAGGCCCTCCTGGGGATGTGGAACAGTGGCCTTTGCCATGGCATATGACCAAGTGTTGGCAGAGCAGGTCAAGTTTTTCATATTTCACTGCAGCATTTATAGCTGTTATTACTGACATCATTGTTCATGTTATCCCCTTCAACACAGAGATGTAGATCACTTAAAATGTGGGGTGATTATCCAAACTAGAAATAAGAGACAGCATTCAAAAGTGTCACCTTTGCCCAGAAATCAATTTAGCACAACCCAGAGAAGGCTCCCCTCACCACAAGCCCTTTAGGGAAATGACCATTTTTCAAAATTAGAAATTAATCAGGATCTCCAGCAAAAATGGGAGTAAGAGGTACTTGTTTTAAGAGCTAAACAAAGAAAACTGCATTATTTGCTTTATTTTTTTTTTAAAGAACTAATTCAGAAATGAGCACTGAGGGTCTGAACAGACCATGTAATGGAAGAAAATACATTCTTCTAAGTCAGAGTCAGTTCCTAGGTCCAAAAGAACATTATGAACTGTCTGTTTATGGCAGCCACGTGTTAAGACTCTGATATTGCTGAGGCAAACCACTCTCAATGAGTGCTTTATGTTAAGTTATAAAGGCAAAGCTGGAGGGGGCCAAATGACTGAAGACATGAGAGACCAAGGGTGTCCTTGAAAGCATCACTCAGGTTAAATGCAGAAAAAGCAGGTGCATAACAAACCAGACTTTGCTTGTCCCTGGTGCTGGTGTTTGCCCTCAATTAACCTGCACTGCACCAAATTAACCGAGGGTGCTGGGCATCAGCTGTGCTCTGCCACTTCCCCTCACCACGGTAATCAAGTCAGTAGCAGGGAGCCAAAGGAAACACAACAATAAAATCTCTTACATCCTCTGATTTGGGACTTCAGAGCCCAAAATAATTGCAGACTAACAGCAGTGTAAACACTCGGAAAACCGATTGCAATCTGAAAAATCGTCTCCGCTTTCACACCTTATAATTGAAATAATTGTTTGATTTTGTGGTTGTTGCACTTGCTACCCTGTGCAAACAGCCACACAAAAGCACTTTATCTTCCTTTCTACATTCCCTTGACAACCTGACAGTTCCTGCTCTGAGGAGGGCACGTGCTTCTCCACGCTGCCACATGGCTCCTGCACGAATGCCTGCTCCCAAGGAACACAGAGGGGCACAAAACCCCTGTGTGTCACAGGCCTTCAGGTTCCTCTGCCAGCACAAAATAATCCTGGCATGATAATCTGTTCTCAACTCACCAGCTGATTTACACAGGGGTCCCCAGGATGTTCTGTGCAGGGCGATGGTTTCTCCAGCCTTCAGGAGCCGAGCCCTTGCATGGCACCTCTGCAATTCAAACTCCAACAAGTCAAGTGGCTTACTAATTCAAAATACAGAACCTTCTGATGAGCCTGTGAAAGCCCAGGGCTACTCTCACCATCCAGCTTTTGTTTCTTAATGTTATGCTCTGTTAAACTGAAATTAGCACCAAAAGGAAGTCGAAAAGAAATGGCATCAGGGAAAAATGAGTATAAAATCTGTAATTAGTCACACTGGAACAGAAATTTCACACACTGCTGTGGACAGACATTTCACACAGACAACCTTTTCACTAACTTTCTGTTTGTTTCAGAGAAACCTTATGGGAGAACAAATTTATCACTAATGCCAGGGTTTTGCAAGCACTCTTGTTTGGATGTTTGTGCTGCTCATGGCAGGCACAGCAGATACTGCAACCAGCACCAGCAAAAGCAGCAGCAGCTTTCAGACCCTGCTGAGCCATGTGCCATTCTGAAGCTACCCACAGCTTCAGTGACAAGAGAACCACTAATCTGGGAACCAAAAGGCTGAAATCCCTGTCCTGTGGGATGCTGGGGATCAGCTGCTTGAGCTCTGTCTGAGCAGCACTTGCACAGACATTTTCTGTGCACTTCCTTTTTTTTTTTTTGTTTGTTTGCTGCCTTTTAGTTTTAAGTCACAGCCCAAAGCTCTCTGATGGGAAGCAAAACCTACTGGCATTATTCAAAGATACTGTGGCTCTCCTGGAAGGGCACAAAAAAACCCAGAGAAGTGGCAGCATCATACCATGACCAGCAAAATCAGCAGGGTGCCTTACCAGCTTGTTTACAGCAGAATGTCCCAGCAGTGTTACCAGTTTGGCTGCACTGGAAAACCTCTACAATCCACTGCCAGCAGCAGTGTCTTCAGCTGGGTCAGCCCCCAGAAAAACACCCATGTGGTTATTTATAACCTTGATCTGCTCTCAAGTAGCTTTCCCAGGTAGGTGGATCTGTTAGAGAACACATTTATGTAGTTGCTCCCTCGTGGCAATGAATCTTTGGTTCTACATGGCCATGGAGCAGCCACATTCCACCAAACCTCTGCATGGTGGTGGCACATCACTCCTCTTCCTGTTCAAGGTAATTTTTCTTACTCATTTCTTATTGCTTTTCTCTTCAGCCAGTCCATTTTATTCAGCTCTAACCTTTAGAGCATTTTACTCTCTTCCACAGAGAAAACAAGGAACAAATAGACTGAGTAAGAAGAAATAATCCAAGATGTAAGTATTGAGTGTGTGGGTGAAAAGCTGAGCTAAACCTGCCCTGAAGCAAGTCACTATTCCCCAGAGTAACAGATCAGAGGGTCAGATCGCAGAGCCAGGGCACTTTCCCAGCCATCTTACATTATTTACAAATATCCTCTGTTCTTGCTCATCTTCCTTGATCTTTGCACCTTCTGCAGCTCCTCCTCTCTTCTTTGTAAAAGCCATTGCTCACCCTGTGTAGATGTGCCTGGTGCTTGTCTTCCCCACATCACAATTTAGCCTCAATCAAAGATACTGAATTCACTGACTTCTCCTAGGGGTAAGTTTTGCATAGGAGAAAGAACAATGCATCCTATATATATTTATATTCATACTCAGCTGAAAAAACTGAAGCATCTTACCATTGTCAGTCCTGTTTCCTGTCCCTATTTTTTTTGTTTGTTTTATTTTTTAATCTGGAGGAAGCCTTATACTTTGAGAAAGGAAACAAGCATCTTCTGGTAGCCTTTTAAAATCCTTTAGGAAGAGATCATTTGCTTTATAATGAGTTTAAACTGTTTTATTTAGAGCTAGAGGAAAGTGTTAAACAATGGGGGAACACCAAACTGCTAATGAAAACATCCTTGATAGAAAAAGAGCCAGGAAGGTTGGCAGAGGAAGAGGAGAATTCCCAAGTGTCTGCTAGTAAGAAAAAAAAGCCATCAGTTAAACATATTTTTCCTTATTTCTATGGTAGCAACAGATTTTTAGATAAAGCTGTGTATCACTTACTTGCAAGTAAAAAGAAACAATGCAATGCTTTGTAGCACAGACAATTAAAAACTGCGGTTCTTATCAGAACATGGCTTGGATTATTGCTTTAAAAAGCAATCAGGCTTTAAAAAGCCATAATAATCTCTATTAAAGTCACAGCCCTAGAAACTTAATGACATTGAGCTTCCTTTCCTGGCACCTAAACTCTCAGTTGAAGAATAAAATCTGTACAGGATAAGAAAAAAAAGGACAGAAAAATATATAAATTTACTCAGACATTCTTCTGACACCTCTACTCTGGGAGTTCCTGTTTTGTGACACATCCATCTGAGCTGATACTTTTCTAACCAGCCTAATTCCATTGTTTTTTTAGCCATCCTTACAATGAGTGAAAGGTCCAGTTCTCAGGTTCCCCAGCTCTGTGCAAGCTCCATCCTTTTCCTAGGAGGATGAGGCACAGGAGGAAAAGCTGATGGTTCCATATGGTTGTAGTGTTTCCCCACTCCTCTCTGCTCTCAGCAGAGAACAAAAGAATCCTCTGGAGTTATTTTAAACCTTTTTTGAAAACATTACTCCTTCCATCCCACTGCAGGACTCCATATGGCACTGAGAAAAATATATTTTTTGGGGGGGGAAATAGCATATCAGAGCAAAACACTTACAGTCCTGCAGGTGCTTCCTGGTGACTCCATACAAATACGAATTCTGCAGTGCAAGTAAACCACAGAGTTGTTGACAAAGGAAAAAATTTTCATCTTAAACTGAGCTTTGCTTGAATTCCCATTTTCCAGCAGCGTGGTGTAAGTGTTTGGGATGGGACAGCTGAAGAGGGAGACAAAACCCAAACAGAGCAGCTAAGGCTAGAGAAGGCAGGTTTTGGTTACAGCACAGAATTTGGGTTTTAAGGTTTTCATTTCTTCAGGAAGTCACAGCCAGACCCTTCATGAAGCAGCTCTGGCAGTGCAGTGGTGACAAGGGGCTGTTTGCTGCTTTATTCTCTCCTGTGGAACAGGAGCTGTGAGAAGTGGCTGGAGAAGGAGGGAAAGAGTAACAGAAAGAAGGATTTAAACTTAGCTTCACCAAACACAAATTGGAAAAAACCTCAAACTTAAAGGACTAGATTTTGTTACTGAGCAAAATCATTATCCTGTATCTTAAGGTGAGCCTAAGAAATATAACATTGGGGTGAGATCAGGGATCCAGACAGGAGCAAACCTCCTCTTTCACCAGAGGCTGCTCTATTATCACGTGTGAGGAATTAAATAACCTATTTCTTTGTTGACAAGAGGCACATAAGCTCTTGATAAAGCTGAAACCACAGAGAAACCTCTGAACCATAGAGCAGGAGATAAAGCACCCACTTCTCAAATGCTCTTTCACTACTGACTGCCAAAATCACCTTCAAGTGATTTCTTCAGGTTAAAAGCACAATTCCCTCACAAAACTGAAAGGAAAACAACCAAACCCAAAAAAACTTTCACATGGCCCTTTCAAATCCCTTTTCATATCTACCTTTCTTGTTCAAAGAAGGTGCAACCAGGCCAGATAGAAAGGGACTGTGCATGTGAATGATGAGAACAGATGTAAAAGTCATTAGAAATATAACACATTATTAGTCAGTTCCACTGTGAGACCTAAGGCATGGCTCATGGTGTTTGCAAATGGCATTGCTGTACCTGTTGCTGATAAAAACAAATGCCAGGGGATCCATTGAATTATTGGTTGGAGTGGCCCAGCAGTCAGTGAGAACCACCTTGAGCTGGCTGTCTGCCCTCTGCATCCCCACTTCGATCAGCACATCCTCACTGGCAGAGACGCTGAAATTTCTGGGGACTGGGGAGTTTCCAATGAACAACTGCATTTCTGTTCTGAAGTGTCCAGATCCATGCAAATCCTCAAAGATGGTGTAAAGTCTGAAAAATCAATTATCCTTCTTTAAAGACCACAACGTTGACTGTAAGTTTTTGCAAGTCTAAAATCAGTGCCTGTTTCCCCACATATTTAAAATCTGCAGTCCAGGATGGCAGGACACTGTTCAAAAGGAAGGGTGAAAAAGCATTGAGTTTTCAGCTGGGAAGGTAGAGAGAATGGAAACAAAAGTGGGAAAATCCTAAGGGTGTCTCAGCAATTCAAACAGGGAAGAGAGAAATACCAGGGTGGAGAGAAGGGGAACAAAGCTATGAGCTCTCTGAAAGCTCAAAAGAAGGTCAGTAAAAGCTTAGTGCAGAAGAGAAGAGCCAAAGAAAATGAGACAGGGAAAATCTGAACAGAAAGTGAAAGGCATGAGAAAATTACAGAGCTCAAAGAAAAGTGGTCTGACAAAGATTTTGCTGGGGAATAGGAAGGAAAATACAATTTCTGGACAGGGCTAGGAAACAGGAACTGGATTTGGTGCCAATAATTTAAGCAGGATGATAGGCAGGAGAGGAGGGGCACTTGTATGAAGGGAGGACACTCCCCATGACAGAAAGGCTTGTGCTGTCACATTTTCTGTCAGCACAGCCTTGATTTTCTGTGAAGTGTGGCTCTGTATCCATCTCACTTGAAGGTGGGGCCTTCCACAACAAGAAAAGTATTTGCATGATGTATCTTCTGGTTTTTCAAGTTGACCAAATAAGAATTTGTGGGGGGTTAAAAACTGTCATTCTCAGAAGCCACATAGCAATCTACAGGCCCACATCAGGTGGAAAGATAAACAATTTATATGCTCCAAAAGCAGAAAAATGCTGTTATTGCTACAAGGGATTGCCCAGCAAGGCAGTGAGGAGAACAGGAATTCTGACTCCTGAGCCTGCAGTTCCCAAAGGTTTATTTCCACCTGTGGTTTAGCCAGGTAAAGGCCAAGCTTGTTGGATCCACTGGCACATAATTGGAGTAGGAGAGAAGCACACAGAAGGGATCTCCTTGGTGCCTTGGACTGGCTACCTAGAGCAGAGGCTAGACAGAGTTAGAGAATAAAGTGGATATTTATTAAAGGCCTTTAACAGATACACCTTGGGCTGTGCAGGAGCCTGGCAGAAGCTACAGCCAAGATGGATGAGGGTCATGAGTTTTTTGGGCAGATACAAGTTTGGCCTATTTGCATATCACAGGTTAATTGCCCAGTAATGAAATCACATTCCCCTGGTTTGCTTCCCCCAATTCCCTTTTGTTTATACTTTTCAGGCCTGAGGATGTGATGATGACCTTGATTCTCAGGCCTGGAAGGATTGTTTTGTCTGACCACACTGTGAAGAGAGCTTACAAACACTTTATATGGAGTTCAGAGTTATACACTAATGCAGTACAGGATCTGAAAAATATAAAAGCTAAAACTTAAGGACTCCCAGGATGGCAGACTGCTCCCAGTGCTGCCTCTGGATACAGCTACAGCCCCTGGGGGCTTTCCCAGTGCAGCAGCACTCAGCCACACAGCAGAATTTCCAAGCAGACAGAGTTGTTCCTCACCCTTCTGCAGTGTACCCAGAGGAAGTCAAGACATGGTTTTGAAACACACAGTGGATGGGACTGGCAACGTTCAGGTGGTGGATTATTCCCTGAGCAGAAGCATCATTCCGAAGGGTGGTTCTCACCACAGTAGTAGTCATGTTCTGCAGCACAGAAAGCAGAAAACACGTCAGTGTTTCCAGGCTTGTACCAGAGCTTTCCAGTTTCAGGTGCTTGGGTGTTCCTCATTCTCCTGACAGCAAAAATCAAACAGATTAAACCTCCAGTATCTTTGTTGCTGTAAAGGGAGGCAAAGAAAAGACATCAGTCTTCCTCCTTTTCCTTTTTGTCATATCATAGAATCACAGAATCAGAGAACAGCTTTGGCTGGAAGGGATCTTAAAAATCATTAAGCTCCAAACCCTCTCCATGGGCAAGGACACCTTCCACTAAACAAGGTTGCCCAGAGCCTCATCTAACCTGGGCTTGAACACTTCCAGGGATGGGGCAATGATCATTCCTTAGCAATGATCTTTGCTCCAGAAGGGAGTTTCTGTACTTTGGTATGGTCTGAACATTGGTTTGGGATCCAAAGAGAGCTGTCACTCTTTGTCCCCACTACTGGTAGCTATTGAAGTATTTTTTCAGTATGGGATGATGAAATTACTTTTAAGAAAAGAGTGCTGCAAAGGAAACCCAGAAGAAGCATGGGGAGTGACTCTCACTTTGGACAGGCCCATGAGTTTTGCTGCCTGACCTCAAAGATTTTCCCTTCTCTTTGGTGTTTCCCATCACACACAGGTAACTTTCCATCACAGGACAGGGATTTCTTTCTCCAACAGAAGTTCAGCAGCTAATAGACTGTACACCTAGCTAGGGATCTGCCACTGCCTCTCCCCTCCTGAGAGAGAAATGAAGTGCTCCAGAGCTTGCTGGCATTCCCTTGATCAGAGGACTTACAGTCTCAACCTGGGTGCCACAGTCGCTCCAGCCCGCCTGCAGCACAACGTGGGTGCCATTGCTGGTGCTCACATTGCAGCCAGGCTCCCCCAGGAACAGGGAGCACTCTGGGATAGACTCCTGCTGCAAGAATCTCTTCTGGATGGCAAGGACAATCCTCTCAGCCTCACAGAACACACTCACAGCGTCTTTAAGGGAAACCTCTTGGGCAGGTTTGACCAGGGGGGCTGGAGATGCTCGAGGAGAAACATCTGGAGTTGCCATAGGATCTGTGGTGAGAGGACTCAGCACTGTGCTGGAGAACATGGTGTCCTCCAGAGCTTTGTGCTCAGCAGGAGAAAAGTCCAGAGAAGCAGGGGTGGAGACATGAGCTGAAGTTTGCAGAGATGTCACAGGTAAAACTGTGCTGTTCACAGGTTTCTTATCTGTCACTGTTGCCTTCTGGCTGAAGGGAAGTGCTGAAGAGGGACAAAAATAAAGGTACTGTTGTAATTTACATGTTGAGATTGGTCTCATTAAGCAAAAGCAAACTCTTACCAGGAAACTCACAGTTACTGGCAGGAAACCAGCTTCTTTTGTTCTTATTACCTGCTCTACTTACTGCCAAAGCTGGGGCTTTTTTTAGAGAGGAGCCCATGAGACACATCAGTGCCCATCAGTAAAGCTGAAGTGCTTTATTTCCTGGCAGCTGCAATAATTAGTGTGTAACACATGCACGTGCAGCTTCTGGAAGATCAGTGCTTGTACAATATTCCCCACTGGAAGTTGCTCAGCAAGTGCTTGTATGTTTTTGCCTGGAGCTGTAGGAGACTGCCCAGTTCTGGCTGGGCATCACCAGGATTTGATAAAAACACTGGGAGTTTGATAAAAAAGCACAGGCCTCATCTGTGACCAGATACTGCCCAAAAGATGGGACCTTGAGTGCTTTGGAAAACTCATTTTGGGGGATGCATGGGCCAAACCTCATGTGGCAGCCCCATATTGCAGGTGTGTCCTGAGGGAGAGGAATAAATGTGTCAGAGGCAATCTGTAATGGTTCCAGGAAGAAAAAAGTGGGGGGAAAGGGAAGCACAGGTTCAGATCAATGTGTGTTAAACACCTAACATCCAGCACAGGTCTGGGGTTACACCTTGAGTGTTCCACAACCTCTGACTGAGAGAATCAAGACAATGAACTCCATTTGCAGGGAAGCACAAACAGTGTGTCTCATTGCACAAAACTTCTCTTAAATAATTTTAGTGGCTAAAACATAAAAATACCACATATTTCCCAAGCAACATATAAAATCTGTACACATATATAAATCCTTATGGAACTGCCCAGCTTCCAGAAATTCCCCAAATGAAAAAAACACTGATTTGCACAATAAAGGAAGGAAAATAAAAGTTGGAGCTCTTACAGAGCTGGATTTCCCAAAAGCTTATAATCACATTAATATCTTAGTTAAAACTGAACAAATGTTGGTATCAATTGACAGATCATTGTGCCTTCTGTAAAAAATGTTCCTTATCATTGTGGTTACAAAACCAAATATAAATTAATGAAGAAGTTTAAGAGAATTTAGGAAATTAAAGACCCATCATTCATCAGCTAACAAACACCCTGAGGAAAGAGAGAAGCCAGATGAATCAGCTCATAGAAAAATATAGTTTGTAATATAAGGATTTCCTCAGAATTTCCAGAATTTGCCATACAGAGGTCAAGCCAAGTATATTGTTACTTTCTCTATTACCTCTTCTGCCCCTCTGCTACTGCTAATGAAAATCACTAAGGATCTTGACAATCCTGTCTCATTTTTGTGGCAAATATGAGAAACAGAACTGTTAAAAGAACCTTACAGCATTAAATATTAAAATAGTACATTCCCACCCCCAAAGTCATCCACTACCCAAGGGGATGCTTCTAACCCCAGGGGCCTCCTCAGTTTTTTCCCCATTTCGCAATTCTGAGGAGATGCTTTGTAAATGCCCAGCAAGAGTGAAGCAGAAGGCTTGTGTCACTGGTCCAGGTTGCAGTCTAGTTGCTGTCTTAATTTTTACCTGGCCAAAATTTTCATTTTTGAGAGAAAAAAAAACATGCTTTTACTTCTCTTTCTCTTTCCAAAGTCTAAAAACCAGAGCAAACCAGAGCATAGGTGGTACTCAGAAAGCAGCACCAGCCACCTGCTCTGTGGGACCTGTCCCTGACAGAAACCCTTTGTTTTAGCCCAGGTTTGAGGGGGGCAGGCACTCTACAAAGCACTACCACAAGACAGTTCTGATCCTAGTAATTACCAGGATATGTAACTTCCCAGATTTACAGCTGTGAGGTAACAGACGAAAAATTATAGAGCAGAGAATAAATATGTTTCTGAAGTATTTTTGCATGAGATTCTAATTGACAGGTTATAGCAACCTTCTTTGGACAAATGGATTGTGTCAGGGATACAGTATTTGGTATTTTTTTTTCAGAGGTGACTTGTGACTTCAGCTGCTCTTAGTCAGGAGATTAATGGTGTTTGTTACTTGCTCCAATTACATATAAAAGGAAAGAAGTTGTACAATCAGCCATCATGCTGGGCTTAGCAAAGTGTGGGCTTTCACCTGAGCTCTTGACCCACAGGTGTGTGAGGAAAACTACTCCCACTGAAGAAGAACTCACATATTCATTTATTTCTATTAATTTCTATTTGTTTCTGTTTCAGGGAAAAATTATTAGTGCAAAGTAGAGCATAATGTGTTTTTAAATGATTTTAAACAGTGCTAGTTATGGCTGTGTTCAGGGACTCATTTCCACTGGTAGCTTATAAATCACTCAATCCATAATCTCTAACATCTCCTTACCTTTTTCTCTGTAAAACTGGTTCTAGACATTGTCAAAAAGACAGGTTGGTTTTGTCCTTTTGCTGACTTCCTATGTCATCTCTGAGTGTTACTGTGAGTGTTCTCTGAAAAATTTACTGGATGGATAAGCTGGAGCAATGTAAGGAGAGAGAAAGGCTTTTCATCCGTGTGTTTTACGGGTATTTTCACCTCAGAAGACACAGATTAATAACAGCTTTCATCATCTGGCTGGTTCTGAAGAATTACTGGGGCACAAGCTGCTCCTCACCGTGTGTGGAGAGGCTGCTCCTGTCCATGGTGAAGTAGGAGCTGTTTTCCAAAGCCTCGCAAAAAGTGGTGATGACATGGTGCACATCCACTTCTTCTGCAAGCAGCAAATTGAAACTTACCACTCTGCTTCCATTAGTAACACCCGTGACCAGCACTTTAATCAGACCAGCATCCATCTGCTGGAGCACCTCAAGGGGCAGAGATTTCTGCATCTGGAATAAAAACAAAATGTATGTGGGGATGGGCAGATGGAGCAATTACATTTCAGGCTGTGTACACTGCTCAGAAATGAGTGTTGTTCTTCCTGCTCTGGAGGGAAGCAGCAGAAAATTGACCTTTTGCTTTGTAACATTTTCAATCCAGAGCAGCTGAAGGATGTGGTGCACATTTAACCATGAATATTAAACGAGCCAAGCGATTAAGATATCTCATCTGTCATTTGGCACAAGCCCTTGCCTCTGGTAACAGAGAGGAGGGGAGGAGACTGCAGGGAAGCTCCCATGTTCTGCCTCTCAAAATGCCTCTGGAGAGGGGCAACCCAAGGAATTCCAACCCAATGCAAGGAATTCCAATCCAACACAATGAATTTCAATCCAACACAAGGAATTGTTGCTGGAAGTGGAGAACCTCCTGATGCTCCACACTGCTCAGCGGGCTCTCTCAGCCCAGGAACATTTCAACTTCGAGCAGGTGACCTTCAAGCTTTGCTTTACAGCTGATTTCCCACCAGAGCCAAGCAAAACCCACCTCTTTCTCAATGCCCAGAGCAGGGTATTAAGGGCTCAGGTGGGGGGTTACTACACTGTGGCCAACTCCAACTGCTTTCTCCTCTCCCAGATTTCTGCAGGGAATATCTGGAGCAGCAGGGCTGGATTTCAGCCATGAGTTTGGGCACAGTTTATTTCGGTGTGTAATGCTCAGGGATGCCAGCAGTGATTCCCACCAGGGAGAGCCCAGGGAAGAGGCAAGTGCTGGGAGCCACCAGGAGAAGCCTTGTTTGCCTTGCACCCACGCTCAGAGCTGCTGCTTTTAGTGCTGGATTCTCACAGCTTTTGCACAACCTTGTGCCCTGCCTGCTGTGCATTACCCAGCCCTGACTTCCCCACTGTCTGTTACCAGCCCTGCAGACAGTCCCAGGATTTGCAGGTGTCCTGCAGCCCTTTCCTGAGTCCCCAGAGCTGGTGTGTTTCTTGTGCTGGGTGCCAAGGCAGCATGGCACAGAGCAAACCCCCTGTGTGCCCCTGGGAACAGCTGCCTTGTGCCTGCAAGTGCCACACAGCAAACCTGGGAGTGCCCCATGGAGCACTCAGGCCGAGCTGGGAGGATGGAGGCAGCTGGCTCCCCTCTGAACACCTGGGCAGAACAGAAACTGTCCTTGTCAGACCCCAAAATCCTCCCATTTCACCAGGACAGGGCCTCTTGGGCTCCTTCTGCTCTCTCTTTCTGCTGTTTCACAAGCAGGTACTGAAAAGTTTGGAGATCAGACCTAAGTTTTCAGCTTTCATAATTTTTGTCTGAACTTCTCAACATTAAACACAAGACACCTGTGATATCCTCTTATCCTCCCACCCTGGTTTCATCCTCTTTCCTTATCTGAAAACTTGATTCTTCTTTTTTCACAGAGTCACAGAATCATTGAGGTTGGAAAAGACCTCTGAGATCATTGAGTCCAACCTGTGACCGATCCCTGCTCTGTCCCCAGCCCAGAGCACTCAGTGCCACCTCCAGACCTTCCTTGGCCACCTCCAGGGATGGGGACTCCAAACCTCCCTGGGCAGTTCCAAGGCCTGAGCACCCTTTCCATGGGGAATTTCCTCTTGATTTCCAACCTGAACCTCCCCTGGAGCAGCTTGAGGCCAATTCCTCCTGTCCTGTCACTTGTTCCCTGAGACCAGAGCCTGACCCCCACCCGGCTATAGGTTTGTTTGTTTGTTTGTTTTGTTGTTGTTCCTATTTTTCCTCCCAAAGCAGGACCCAGAGCTTGAATAGTGTCAGGGCACATTCACAGTATTTGTATTTAGCCACTAGGTGACACTACAAAACCCTTTATCTAAGAGACTCCAGGATTTCCCAACAGGTACCACACCCTGGGTTATCAAAACAACGCTCGATGAAGCAGGGCTAGGGAAAAAAAAAAATAAAAAATAAAAAAAGCAGGGCTAGGGAAAAAAAAAAAAATAAAAAAATAAAAAAAAGGGGGGGCGAGGGACGGAACTTTTTGGAAAAAAATATTCAATATATAATACCCTTGAGTATGGGGAGTTCTTACAAGAGAAATTATCTTCCTGTCTGTCATATCTGCAATTTCTATATCACACAAAGGAAACCTAAACAGGAAATGCTGACAGTCTGGAAACTGGGAATAAATAAGTAAAAGGTACAGTAATTTGAACAGAATATTGTTTGAAGAGAAAAAAAATTTAAAAAAAGAAAAACACAAAAACAAAAACTTCCCCACTGTGTGTGGTTTGGCTGCACCTTCAGGGAGAAGATACCAGAGCACACATCTGTACAGCCACCATCACCAGCAGCTTCCAGGATGTGGAGTTGGATAAACTCAAATTAACAAAAGGGTGAAATTAAACTGGAATAGTGAAAATTCCTGAATCCCTGTTCCTACACTCATTCCACATTCATATAGCTTCAACTGCAATCATTTTAGGTGCAGTCAGCTACACAAACACAGGCCATGTGCCTTACAAATGAGGGGGTCACTCATAAGGCATTATCATTTATTACTTTCACACTTTTTGTCATTCAGCTAAATTTAAGACACCCAAATCCAAAACAAGCTTTCCACTTGGGAATTTATTGCACCTCAGTGAATGTATTTTCAACTCAAACCTTTTGCTTTCCCAACTGATTTTGTTGAGGATGTCGTAAAACACAAACTGGGGTGTTTGTAAAACAACAAACCCCAGGACTTAAATCCTTTTTTGCCTTTAGCTATGTTGTTTTTAAGTTGCATTACAAGAAAGGTGGTGGAACTGGCCTGGACAATGACAGTGCAGGTTGTCATATCAAATTTTTACCTCCTTCTCATTATTTAAAGGATGGTATTTCCATTTGCTGTGCTGCCAATTTAACCACATGGCACTTAAGTGCTGGGGCTTAAGAACATTATACACATTAGGATTTATAAATCCTCTGAATTGTAGATTATGACTCCAAAGAGGTTTAAAAAAATGTTTGGCAAACTGTATTTAACTGGAACCTGAGAGTGCTTTTAAAGCTCATAAAACTTTCCTCATTTACTTTAAAAGATCCATTTCAGGTCTTCATAACCTGAAAAGAAAATATACAGATCTTTCTGCTGTCCTAAATTTTCTTTGGCATCTAGAAATACAATATTTATAATATTATTTACAGCAGCTATGCAATTATAGCCCATTTACAGTGGCTCAGAGGTGGAAGGAATCAACACTAACACATCTCTCCAGCTGATCCACAAAACCAGAGTGCTGGGAAAAGGAGCTAATTCCTTATAATCCCAAATGATCATTCTCTGCCTGAAAATTTGAGACCCAAGTAAAACCAACACAAAACTTCACTTTGTTCCTTTAAGTAACCATTTTACAATTTTTCCTAAATATAGGAGTACCCATGATTTTCTGGACTGAGATATCTGACTGAATGAAGGGAATACATGAATTTCAGTTCATTCCAATACTGTGCTGCTCTGAAATAGCCTCGGGCAGAGCGTGGTGCTGAATGAGAGAGAGGTCAGTGGAGAATTGCTCCCTTTTCACTTTGCTAATCACATCACTCTCGTTTTGTCACAGTTTTTCTGATGTGACAGCTTGGGGCCAAAACAGCTCCAGGAAAGCTGTGCTCTGCTAACACACCCAGAAAGGTGCAAACCAGTCCTGAGCAGAGGGAAACTGATTTGATGTGCAAGAAGGATGAATGGATCACCCTCTTCCCTGCCTGCAGTTGTCTGTGGCCTGGCCTGTGCCCCTGTGCCAGCTGTGTTCCAGTGGCACGTGGTGACTCTGTGCCCTGTAAGTCTTGGGAGGCCTCTGCAGGATTTGAAAATCCATCAAAGTGCCAGTGATGGATTTATCACCACGCTTATCAAAGCCTCTGAAAACACAGACAGTGAAGGGGAGGGAAAGGAGGCAGTAAAGCAGCCCAGCATAACCAGTGGATTTCCAGGCATGGGTGTGTTGGAGGGAGCACCAGAAGGAAGAAACTTCTGGCAAATTCCCTGCAATATTAGACACTGTCAAAGGCAACACCCCGGAATGCTGAGAGGGTTAAAGGCACAGCAGATATCATGTTGTGCTTTGATATCCTGCACTCTGATTAGAAGTGAGGGCAGAGGTGACTTTTCAAGAAACCACTCCCTTTCCAGATATGGGGCTACAAAATCCATGATGATTACAAGAACTGTCAGCCCTGAGGTACTACTACAAAGGATAATAACAATCATACAGCTAATTAGGATAGTGCTGTTCAGGGCAAGGGTATCAGAGCACTTTGCTGGTTCCATTACCTTTCCACCACACCCCTGGAGGAGATCAATAATTCAGTATAACTAGGCAGGAGCAGGAGAGGACATGGAGGTACCAGAGAATCCCAAAATCCTGATCTTCCTCTAAAACACAGCTGCACACTTATCCTGCAGCCTCAGGCAGTCAGGGGAAGCCAAACCTTACAGGTGTGTCAAGGGACACACATGAGTTATACAGGCTTTGGGGGAAAAAGACCATACACAGGGTTTTATTGAGACAGGTAACAGGTCACATCCTTCTTCATCACTTACTTCATCAACAAAGAGCTGTGCAAAGGTTTGATTTTCCTCACTGCTGTTATTGCTAAAGCCTGGAGAGTATTCCATGTTTGTTATCCAAACTGTGCCACTAAGTTTCTGGAAGGCTGCAAGGTAAGAAAAAAGACAATTTCTGTAATATGTGCTTTATGGGCTGCACCCCATGGACAGTGCCCAGCATCCCTGGCCACATGCATCCACTCACAGCAGCAGAAGGCCAGCCCTCTGAAATGTAGCCCAAACCCCAAAAGTCTAAAACCAAATCATCCAGCATCTTAGTCTGCCCTGCCTGAGCCCCAGATGGCTCTCAAGAAAGGCACTGACCTCCTGTAGGTCTCATGTCTGCCAGCTCTGCCTTGGATCCTCAGGGATATCTGGGATGTTGCTCTATTCAGGGACTGGAATTGCTCTCCCAGGCTCAGCTGGATGTCCCACCAGTCCCTCCAGAGGGACCAAACTGTAGCACCAAATCCTCCCTGCAGCCTCAGAGGAAGGCTGGGCTGCTGCCTGGGTTTACACATCTACACTTTGGACAGCTGTGGTGGGATGAGATGAATCCCAACAGGGTGTACACTTCCCCCTTGTTCACATCTGCTGAATGACATCAATGCAGACTCAAATGTTTTATTTCCTGATTTCTCTGTGTTTCCCAGTGTCTCTGGGCTTGGCATTGTTACTACAGACACTGAAGTGATCAGAGATCAGAGAAGGGGCTTCTCAAGGTGTGGTTTGTGCCCCTGGCATGCATTTAGTGATGACTGCAATCATCCAGTGCTGTGACCATTGCCAGCAAAATGACTTCACTCTGCCCCCAGCTCCTAACAAATCATCACTCCTGGCACAGCAAAACCTGATGTTTCAATGGTTTATATAAATACAGGATAGTCTTCACCAAAAACCTCAAGAACTTTATCATCTGGCTAAGGATTCAGTTTAAAATTCTTTGTTGACTTTCTGGTGTAGCAACCTGCTTTCCTCCCTGCACCTCCACAGGGTATCAGGCACCAGGTTCCAGCTCTGAAACTGTCTGACTCCTATATTGAGTTTTAATCTGCCATTTTAGCTGCTTTCTTTGAAACAGAAGGAATTATAAAGCTCTGCATAACCTCTGTGGACCACTTTACACCCAAGTTCTACTCACACTGGGAAAATAATCAGTTGAACAAAGACAGGTACTGGAAGAAATAGTAATCAGGTAAAGCTTTATGGGGGAGGGGAGAAATGCCTGCTTGAAGCAGGGCACTGGAGGAGGGTTCCTTCATCCCAGCATCATTCTGATCCCAAAGGAATCCTCACCACTCACAGTCAGATCAAAGGATTTGGGTTTGCTTTTTGCCATGGAGTGTCCTGTCATGTGAACACAGGTATTTAGAGGATAAAACACATTCAGTTGTCTCAGGTGAGAGGGGAAAATGTTCTGAACAATTCTCAAATAATACTAAGAAAGCCCCCTGGTATTTCGAAGACTGGACTATGAAGAGTTGGCTGGGGTTGAGCCTCCAGGTCAGAGATGATGCCACAAGGAGGAGCTGCATATGAACCTTCACCAAACATTGGCTTTTGCCCTCTGGATTTCCTGCCCCAGGCTAGTGAGATGCCACTCTGGTGGCTCTTGGTCTTATTCCTTGGGCATAATCCCTTCACAAGCTTCTTTCCCTGCAAAAGCACTTGGCTGAATATAAACTGAACTCTTTTTGTGTAGAATTCTTCGTTGTTTTTTTTTTTCCAGCTGGGAACAGCCTTTATTTGGCTTTTTTTTTCAGTTAAAATTAGCTAATTTTATGGGTTTCTTTCATTAAACAAACCCCAAACATCTTTTTTAGGAGGAGAGAAGAAAGCAGCTCAGCAAGGCACTGGCACAGCTGCCCAAGGCAGGGCAGGATGGCAGGAGGGGATACCTGGTGAGCAGGGCTGGGGGGACAAGAGAGGCTGGAGAAGCAGCAGAATTTGCTGTACATGGCTGAAAAAGAAGTTTTCCAGGGAGAAAGGAATGAGGGAGTACCAGAAGTGGGGCTTGGACCAGTGGAGACCACCAGGAACACGAGACCACAGGGGAGGGGGAGATAAAATACCTGAGGAATGTGTGACTTGGGATCAGAGAGATGTGGAGGGCATGAGAGACAGGATAAAGACAAGCAGAAGCAAAACTGAAATAGGCAAACTGAATAGTGACACACTACAGGAAAAAATACACATTTAGTGATGGGCAGAGACAGCAGCATTCCTATCCCAAACAGAACTGTAATTTTAAGATCAAATCTGACTCTCTGAAATATGATTCAGCTTCCATCAACAGAAAAATCCCCTAATTAACTGCAACACATCAGCTCAAACCCAAACAGATTAAACCTTCACAGCCTTGTTGCTCTCAATTGCATCTCTTGAAGCAGTGTCTCTCAGGTTTCCAGGCAGCTTCTGCCTCACAGGGGATTTGTGGAGGACTCTGACTAATCATCCTCTGCTGAGAGCAATGGGAAGGCAGGTTCTTTTCCTCCCTGGCTCCCTAAATTAACTCCACAGACAGCTTCTGCTGCCATGTCTTGGTGCCAGAGGCTGCAGGAAAAACCAGGATGTGTGGCAAAAGGACAAGTAGCAAATGTTGCCATGAGCCACGTTCAGTGCACTCTTTTATGTGCTTCCTCCTCTTGGAGTGAAGAAATGTAACATCAGTAAAAGCAACTGCTAAATTGCCAGGAAGAGGAATCACTTTCAGAAGCTGATTTAGCAAAGAGAAAGTGCCAATTCCTGCAGAAAATATTATTGACATAGAAAAAATTGAAGGAACCAAGAAAATAATTTTGACATTGAAAAAATAGTTTTAGATGCCTTTTTCTGAATTCTGAGCAAGGCTTTGCTTCTCCCCCAGGTGAATTCCCACACATGCACACCCCATGGGATGTCTACTCACTGTGGTGCAGGCTGGGGGCTGGAGAGGTGCCTGGCCAAGCTGGTGTCCCCAAGGCTCCAGAGTGTCCCTCAGACCAAGAGCTGTTCTCTCCATCTGCTCTGGGGGTGGCAATGCCAGTGTTCCCTGTGGCCAGCAGAGCTGTGTCAGGGCCACCTGGAGAGCTGCCTTGGGGCACAGCAGCAGCTCTCAGAGTGCTGGTGGCAGCTGAGGCTGTTTGATTTGGAAACAGCCACAGTGAGCCGAGCTGCTCGTGCCTGGCTGTGCCCACGGGCGTGTTTGGGAGAGCAGCCCTGGCCACCGAGCTTTGCTGCCATGGGCTCCTGGCCTCTGTCCCCATGGCCAGTGCCCTGCTGGGGGTGACCCCCGTGGCCACAGGGCTGCTGTCCCTGCTGAGAGCCATCCGTGGGGCCAGACCTTTTTGCCAAGGGGTTAGAGGAGCACTGGTGGGACTGTGGGACACTTGTTTGTCACCCAGGGCCAGCACAGCAGGGAGGAGTGGGGCGGCGCTTGACGCGGGGCCTGCAGCAGCCGCTGTCCCCGTGGTGGCAGTGGGAGCAGGGCCTGCAGGGCTTCTGCCTTCTTCAGGAGCCAAGTCCGTGCGGGTTCTTATTTCAGGAGACACAGTTTCAGTAAGAGGATCCACAATCTCACCTGCAACACAGAAAACAAGCCCTGAAATGGGCCTCAAATGGGACAAGGAGGCACCAGGGCCTGGCCTGAAAATGGCACTGAGGGCACTCAACCACCCATGGCAGCATGACAACAACAGGTCTTGGATGGTCATGAACACAGTGTAGAACACATGGTTTTTGTGGGATTGAATCTGGTTTGGGCTGACACAAAGAAGCAGATTTGATTCCTGGGTCTCCTGTTCTGGTTGGCAAGGCTGTGGATCAACTTTGAGAGTGGAAATTAGCCACAGACATAGCAAAAGAGGGAAAAGTATTCCTTGGAGTTATCAGGCTTATCAAGAAGCATCTCAGAGAGATTTCACCTGAATTTATTTATTTATTTATTTATATAATATAACTACAACTATAATGATAACGATAACTAAAAATAAAACTATATAATTAGTTACTTAGTTAGAGACAGGTCATATAAACCCCTTCAGCCACAGACTGCAAAGATGCAATTGCATGAAGAGCTGTTATAAAAGCAGATGTAAAACCCCACAAGATATTCCAATGTTTCATGGTAAAAAAACCCCTACATGCCAGCCTTTTTCTCACCCTCACAGTTTCTTCCAGGTCGGGATGGATTGGTATCCATGGTTGTCTTGCACCTGCACATGTAGGAGCCCATCAAATTGATGCACTCTGCAAACACAGAGCAGTCATTCTCTTGGGAAGCACATTCATCCCAGTCTGTGGGACCAAAACAAGAACAAGGGTCAGAGAGCCTCCCTGCTGGCTGCATTAAGCTAGAAATAATCATTAAGTAGCCCTTTTTAAATTTACTTTTATGATCTTCCTTTTTCATTATTAACCTGTCAGCCAAGCTTTGAGTGATGCAGAACACTAACTGTTTTGTTATTCTCTTGTTCTTGTACTCTGAAAAGTATTTTCTCTGAGTAAAGACTTTTAAAGTCATTGTTTTTAGAGGTAAACACATTTAAAGTGAAAAAAAAATGCTGCAGCTTTGTACTACAATTATATCAAAATCACTCACTATACCGAGTTCTGTGTACAGCACCTCCAGAAAAATCAGGTAATGAATAGATCTGTTACCACTAGTTACCAGTAGATACAACATTAAATAGAGGCTTAATCCAAATAATCTTCTGCTTCAAATAAAAAGTAGATGTTAGTAACTCCCAGGGGAAGCACTGTTCTCTTCTTAACAGAGGAAGTGCCAAGGGCAAAATCTCTTTTTATACAATTTTTCTTCTCAAAAGTAATGCTGTAAAACTGTGACCCTCTTTCTGGCAGTGTCAGAAAAGACATCCTGATTCATCAATGCATGAAGATGCTCTAAGGGTGTTCCTGTGTCTGATTTCAGCTGCTCTGTATCAGTTAGAGGGACCTTTTCATGCAGTTATGGACCTATTTTATTGTGAGTCTCTTCTCTTTTGAGGGACTTATCTGGAGTCTTGTGCTGCCATTCGCACCCTGTTCCAGCAAATCTGCAAGGGCTGAGTTAGTCCTTTGGACAGGGATAATTCCAGTGAATCCCAGGTGAGCCCTCCCTGTGTGGCTGCCTTGTGCACTCACCTTCTGCCTCAGGGCCTTGAAAGAGGGAGAGCAGCAAATGAGGCTAAAAACTGCTTGGGACAAATCATTCTGATCAGAGGCTAGAAAATTGTTCTGAATAACAAATTAACAGAAGTGCTTGTTCTGCAAACTGGCAGATTAATGATGGTGATTATTGCTCTGAAACAAAGGAATGTCCCATTCCGTGGGCATGCCCATACACACACTCATCTTTCTGCTTGCTTTTCCTTCCTTCTAGCTAATATTTCAATTCTTTTTACTTTTTTTGTCATTGGGTAATTGCTGTGTCCACGATACTCTCCATTAGACAATGTCATGTGCCTATGGCCAGCAGTTGCCTATTATGTTCCAGCCTAAGCCACTTAGAGGGAATGCAGAAGGGTGCAGGATTGACTGAACACCAGAGACGAAATCTCGTTAATTCCTAACTCTGCTATGAAATAATTGTGACTCTTCGTGGCTTCCAACACCATCTGAGAGATGCTAATTGCCAAATCACTTACATTCACTGCCTCCATTGTCTCTGAGGGTTTCCTTTCTCCTCACTAAGCACAGCTTTTTAAGCAAATTCCTTCACCCCTGACGGCCACATCCAATCATGCATCGGGTCAAAACGCTGGCACTGACTGGTGCATCACTTGTGCACTTTTTTCCTCTCCAAACCTTCACATCTCAGCCACGGTCTGCTCTGAGCTCTCCTTCTGCACTCTTGGCACCTATCTGGCCCTTCACATTTGGCACTGCCCTACACACACCTCAACCAACAGTCCTAGTCCAAAAATTATTAAAAAGCCACCTTTGTGTTCACTCTGATTACCTATTATACACCTGAAAGGGGTACATGCAAAGGGTAAAAATCTGTGAAATTCCTTGCCAAATGATTTTGCAGATGCTAAAGATTTAAAAATCTGATTTGATGGGGAGATTCATGGTGGATAAACAAACCCAAAAAAATTGTTCTGGATCCAGGGAGTCCTGGAGCTGAAAACAGTTGTTGGCTAAGGGATAATTTGTGGGAGGTGATGCTTTCTCCAGAAATTGGCTTCTGTCTGGGACATTGTGCTAGAAAGATCTTGGGCCTGACTCAGCACACATCCCTTTCTCTTCTCTCACCATGCCCCACAAAACAGATTTTATTGCCTTTATTCATCATGGCAATAAACTTAATAATTTATGGATCTTCTCAGAGATCTGGTCCACTCCCTTCAGTTGTGCTGTCCCTTCTGACTGCTCATCCCTGCTCTTCACAGTTGAATGGAGTGTCACTAAACCAAGCACAAAGCCAGGTGGTGGGCCAGGCTGCAGGGAGGATCCAGGGGACAGGGTTTGGGTGGGCTTATTGCCAAAGGTCATGTCCTAAGGCTCTCTGGGGTCAGGAAGCAAAACACCCCATTATACAAATCCTTCCTTCCTGTGTTTCACTCCTCATTTTCTACTTAGGAAACTCATGTGGAAGAAACTCTTATTTGAGTAGAGCTAATAAATAAACCCCTTTTCTAAGCCCCTAAGGAGGAGTGGAGGTGTTGGCTGTGCCCCTGGATAAGTGTGGTGCTACTGGAAGCCACCTGGTCTTCTGCAGCTAAAGTGACCAGTCCAGAGCCATCACCTTCTTCTTCCTCAGCCTTTTGGTCCCAGGATCAATAACATTTACAAAGTATTTTGGCACACATCAGCATCTTGCAATTCAGCTGCCACTATGATATTTGTAGGCTTCAAGTGCAATTTGTCTCCTGGTTTTTTCCTGTCCCGTTCTCCTTAACCTGCATATGCTCTGCAACTCCAAAGGGAGTTTTTCCTGCTCAGAAAGGCTCAACACACCAAGAGAGACGAATAACCCATTCTGTTGGCTTTGGCAACTTTCTGAACTCTGCTGTCTCTGCCAGCTGGGAAACCTGAGGACAGAACTCAGTCCTTTGAAGATAAAAGTGGTGATTACTGAAGATCAAACAAAGGCCTGGTTTAACATAAATTCCATGCGTGTTTCTTCAGTCCTATTCACAGCAAGGACATTTGGGAATTCCTCTGGCTGGGTTTCTGGAGGGAAGATGTTAGATTTCTTAAACCTTGGTGCAAATACAGTCTTGGAGCTCAAAACTGTCTAGAGGGTGTGTGGATCTACTCTGGCTGGGTTTCTGGAGGGAAGATGTTAGATTTCTTAAACCTTGGCCCAAATACAGTCCCCCAGTCTTGGAGCACAAAACTGTCTAGAGGGCGTGTGGATCTTAAGGCTGCAGATATTCCACAGTAATCCTGTCTGCCTTTCAGCTTGACAAAGATATGGCAAAATTCCAGCTGGGGACAGAGAGGAGAGGGAGGAAAATGATTACAGAAACCAAGGGCTCCACTTGGGTTAACCACAGTGGGGAGAAGCAGTGCCTGCGGGTACCTGGGGACAGCCAGTGCTCCTTTGTCTGACCCTTCTGGACTTATGGATAAAACCCCTGGAAGAATTCTCACATCATGGTTTTCTCTTCAACAAACCACATCCTTTGTTTCTCTATTTTGTGAAGAATATTGGTGATACTGCATGTGATCAAAACACAAACACTGCTTCCTTCTTCCAGAAAAAAACCCCAAAAAAATTACCTTCTACTGCAGTGTTTTGCTGGTCCACCACAAGCACAGAGCCATTGTGCAGGTAGGAAAGCACTGGGGCAAATGTGGAGGCATCCACTGGAAACTCAGGATCCTGCACGGTGATTCTGAGCCTCACAATGATGCTTCCTGCTGCCAGGGATTCAATCTGCACTTTGAGCTTCCCAGATTTGTACAAGGCAGAAATGTTGGGTGGGAATGAATTTTCAAGCTGAACAAAGGGAGAGAATTATTGACAATTAGGGAGCTAACCTCTTTAAATATTTATATAAGCACAACATATAAGATACTGGAAAAAGAAAAGTTGTATTTCAGAAATCTTATTTTTCAGCGATTATTGTGGCACAAGGCAATGCAAGTCTCCTTGGTGCAACCCTGCTGGGAAGGACTTGGGGGTGTTGGTGGATGAGAGGCTGTACACGCCCTACCTGTGTGCACTGGGGACACAGAAACCCTCTGTGTGCTGGGCTTCACTAAAATCAGCGTGGGCAGCAGGAGAGGGGGGAATTCTGCCCCTCTGCCCCCTTCAGGTGAGACCCCACCTGCAGAGCTGCCTCCAGCCCTGGGGCCCAGTACAGGGAGGATGAGGAGCTGCTGGAGCCAGCCCAGAGGAGGCAGCAGCATCAGAGCAGCTCTGCTGTCAGGAAATGCTGACAGAATTGGGATTGTTCAGCCTGCAAAGCAGAAGGCTCTGGGAGACTTAAATGTGACCTTCCAGTATCTGAAGGGAACTTACTGGAAAGATGAGGCAGGACTATTTACAAGGGCCTGGAGTGACAGGACAAGGGGGAATGACTTCAAACTGACAGAGAGTAGAGTTAGATTAGATATTACGAAAAACTTCTTTGCTGTGAGAGTGGTGAAGCCCTGGCACAGGTTGCCCAGAGAAGCTGTGGATGTCCATCACTGGAAGTGTCCAAGGACAGGGTTCTGAGCACCTTGGTCTGGTGGAAGGTGTCCCTGCCTATGGCAGGGGTTTGGGACTGGATGATCTTCAAGGCCTCTTCCAACCCAAACCATTCTGTGATTATATAATTCTATGATACTTTTGAAAACAAAACTGTATCCATCTGACCACTGGTCTTAATGAACCAAGCTCCAGATTTTGGCTCAAGGGAGCAAAATTCCCCCTGGCCCTGTTTGCCTGCATCAGAGCTGAACTGTCCTGGTACGTGTGTGCAGCAGAGCTTTGATGTTATCTCTATATGTCACATATACATTTTGTTTCATTTACAAGTGAGGGCATGGCTTTAGTTCCCCGGGATCATTTGAAACTCCCCACTTCAAGTTCAGCCTGCAGCCCAGTCCAATAATAAAGAAACCTCAGGATGAGAGACAGGAAAAATGGAGGTGGATAACTTCAAAAAACGTGTTTGAGACAGCCCAGCTTCAAGGCAGCATCACAATTACATCACGGTTAATTACCAAACCAGTGAGCAGTCACTTCAGCTGAACAAATGGCATTACTCTGAACACTGAAGCTGGCACACTGCTGTCAGTATTTGAGCTGTGCAGGAGCTGGCAGTTTCACCTTACATGTCTAGAAGGCAGCTCCTTGCTTGAGCCTTTTGTTGCTGCATATACCTCGAAGTGTGCCTTTGAGCACAAATCCAGAGACATAAATCAGCACAGCTTTGTTCCCATTCAGTCAGAGCTTGCTCAAAAAGATCCCTACAAACAAGCTGTGTTGCTTGTCCAAGCTCACATCAGGGTAGAGAGGCAAGAAAATGAGGAGAGAAGAAATGACAGTGCTCACAAACACCCAAGGAGGCAGAAGCAACACAGATGAGCAATGCTGCTTTTTCTTCCAACTTGATGAAGCCAATGAGGTCTGCATTAATCTCGAAGAAGACTCACTCACAATAATCTTCCTACACAACAAAAGTGAACAACTTGCAACTGTGGGACATAAAGACACGTGAGGAGGTTCAACTTGCAATTTCTGTTGGGCAAATGCCCCTTCTCTGCTGCCCTTGAATGTATACCTCCATTATTGTTTTGGGGTTTCCTCTTGCATTTAAATTCATGATTACAAGTCACCCTTTGTTTTGGGGAAGCCTTGTGTTGGGTGGAGTTCCCAGTTCCTACCAGTTCCTCTGTGTGGGCCCTGTTCTGTGTAGCAGAACTGTAGGAGATTGCTCCATCTGAAACCTCCCCCTTTTTTGGGAAGCTCAGAGCTGCCACCAGACTTCATGACTCAAGTTTTGCTTCTGGCTGATTACACCTGACTGTGGACAGTGGCCACACATGTGCAGGCAAGGAATGGGGCTGGAGAAGAAAGCCTGATCCAGATACTTTTCCTGAAAGAAGAAAGAGAGCAGGCAGACAACTATTTATTTAAGAGGAGTAAGACATTTATTGAGCAGACTGTGCTGAAATGAATGCCAGGAATGCCATTTCAATAATCCATTTAAAAGCCTCGAGTTAATTTACTGTGAGTTTATTGCCAAATTAAAGATCCAAGGAAAGAAGCCCCTGTTGCATGCCTGCATTTATAATTCCTTCACTCTTCTGCAAGGGAAAATTCTCACTGGCTTCATTGCTAACAAGGCCAAGGGCTTGATCTCTCTAGTCAGTTGAATTTTGTTGTATTATAAAGAAATTATATTATTATTATATAAATTTTATAATAATAAATTATTATTATTATATTATTCATTGCTAACAAGGCCAAGGGCTTGATCTCTCTAGTCAGTTGAATTTTGTTGTAATTGTAAAGAAAGGTCACAGGAAATAGTATGCTGATTTTTGAAGGAACATTTAATCCAGGCATAAAATCCTCTATTAGATTAAATAAAGTTTACATTAAAAAAAATATATATATTACCTAGAGATATAGTCATTTTACCTCTGTAAGCAACAGCCTTGAAAATGCCTCATATGCTGAGCTGCTGGCATTATGGAAATCATCAGTGAAGTTGTAGTTGAGAATCCTCATAGTAACATCAAATATCTTGGCCTCTGCAAAACACAACATTAAAACACACTGACAAAGTAGGAAAGGATTCAGTTAAAATTTATGTACCTGCACCAAAATCTCAGCTGATGGAAGAAAAGTTGAGAGAGTTTGGTATGAAATTAAAAAATAGGCTCCTACAAGCTTCTGATACATTGAGAAAATGCACTTATATCAGGTATAAAGAGATATTTTGGTGCTTAATTGCAACTGCATGAGAACTGGGTGTACACATACTTTATGTGTGGGTTTACACACACCTGGGCCTGGCCCTACATAACTCCTGCCTTGAAGTTGCACCCAGGGTTGAATTGTCCATGGGCTCATCTCTGGCCCACCAGTCACAGATTACATTTATTTATTTTCCTGATCTTGGTAGTGGGGATAGTAAATATAATTGAAAATATAGCAAAAAGCTGTGCATATCCCTTGTGTGTGTGGTGAGCCCTGACAGATACTGTACAGAGCACAGGAGCCAAAACCAAGAGCCAAGGAATCTCTAAGTGCTTTGTGCTGTATAAACACTCCCAGGCTGTTACTCCTTGGACTGATCCTTGGAAAAATTTTCTTTCTCTCAAGTGCTCCAACTTCATACTCTGAAGTTCAGCTCTCTGTTTTCATAACCACTAGACCTCCTACTTTCCCTCCACAAAGAGAGTAATTTCCTTCTGACCCAAACTGGAGTCATCCCTCATCTCATCAAAGGGAAGGCTCTTAGGGATAAACATGAACAGCAGCATTCCCACTGTGGTCAGTAATAAGAGTTCACTGCATGCTCTTTGAAAAAAAAGGGGAGAGATTTATTTCTTTATTTGCATGGAGGCTTAGGAAATAATTTAAGACTAGAGAAAAAGTAAAATTATCTTTGATCAACACACTAGGGCCTCAGGAAGCTCCCACCACCAGTTAATTGAACAGAACTGGGCAGGTAGTCTGCAGCTCTCTTACTCAGTCCTTGTAATTCTCTTTAATCCTTTACTCAGCAGAATCTGCCCTTCCTCTGGGCACTCTTGTTAGCTCAGCTGAGCCCTTGACAAACCAGTTGCTTGCATTTCCCTCTGGCCACAGCCATCAACCAGGGAAAAACGAGGCCTGCTGGGAGATGGGTGGCAGCAGAAAGCAGTGTCAGCACCAAAGAAATAAATTTTTAAAAAATAATTATAGCTAGCTTAGCCTGATATCTGTAATAGGCTAATCAGCTCCAGCACTGCTTTATCAACTAAGGCCAAAGTCCTGCTGCCTGATATTCTGGATTGGATAAATGCTGCAGTAGATGAGATAAAAAGTGCTGAAGAAGTTGTTCAGTGAGGACCAAAGGGTCACTGCTGAACTGCAAGGGAATGGGGATGGAAGGAGGAGAATGGAGAAGATAGAGATATATTATATTATATATATGTATTTTAAACTGTTTCTTTACCTGTTTTAACATTCTGACGGGAGATAATGGTTTTTCCACAAGTTTCATAGCTGATCTCTACTGAATACATCACACCTGCTTCCAGGTGGGACACATCCATCTGCGTTTCCTCTGTCTTCAGGTCTTGCACAGTTTCATTGCCCTTGGCCACCCGGACTTGGAAAGTGTGGTTCAGAGTGGAACTGACAAGCCAGGACATTCCAAAGCTGTTGCTGGTAACGCTGAGGATCCGATGGTTTGTAACTGCAGAGGGATCTGTTGCAGGAGTTGGCACAGAAAAAGCAACATTTCAGTATTAAAACCTTGTGCTGCTCTAACTCCACTACAGACAAGCACTCTGACAGTCAGTAGGGTCAGGACAGAATCTGCCCCTCTCACACCAGCAGATCCCCTCATCCATGAACCATCCCACTAGAGTGACTGATTTAATGTTTAACCTTTTTATTTCCTTTTACTATACGCATTTCTGTTGAATCACAGAATAGTTTGGACTGGAAAGAACCTTAAAGATCATCCAGTTCCACCCCCTGCCATGGGCAGGGACACCTTCCACTAGAGCAGGCTGCTCAGAGCCCCATCCAGCCTGGCCCTGAACACTTCCAGGGATGAGGCAGCCCCAATCCCTGTGGACAACCTAATCTCCTCCAAATCTCCAGTCACAGAAATAATCAGCCAGCAAGCTACAGGTGCAAGCAACAGCAATAAGTTTGGAAGAGTGGCTTTGGGTACTCTACATGTGTTGACACCTGCTTTGCCTCCTTGTCACTTTAATCAAGGTGTTCAGGCAAAGGTTGCCTGGATTTATCCTGGAAAACCCCCCAGACCCCAGCTAACAGAGGCTGGGGGAGAGTGGTGGGCAGCACTTCACCTGTCATTCCACTCTAGTCCAGTGCAATCATTGTCATGTCAATGGGAAAAGACAGGGCCCCTCAGAGATGATCCCTGTCCTGGGAGGAGGAGGTGTTCAAACTGGGCAGGATGAGTTGCCCTGCAGCAGAGCCAGTCTGTCTGGCTTGAGAGAGAGAACCCAGACAAGACATCTCTGCTGGAGAGAGCTGGGGCCAGGAGAAGTGAGCATCACACCCCACACTAACCCAGAGACCACGGCCTGCTGCTGCCACAGCTTCAGGTCCTTCGTGCTAATGGTTAGACTAAGGAGAAAATGTTGTTTTCATAAATTGCTTCAACAGAACACATTGTTTCCAGCACTCTGAGCCAGGTGGCTGCCAAACACCCCCAAAGCCACTCCCTCCTGTGCTAGAGGGGCCTCCGTTTAATTCCTCTGGCTTCAGCTTCGATCAGAAGTCGTGGATGAACATCAAGAATATCCAGCCTGTCTCTCTGATCTCTCAAAGAACAACTTAAATCTATTTCCTCCCACAGAAGAACAGGGTGTTGTTAAAAGGATTGTAATAACTCATGCCTGAAAGGGCTGGATCACCCCTATAAACACAAATCTACCAAGGTTTGTTCCCATCACAAATCAAAACATTTATTAAAATCCAAAGTTACTTAAAGCACCCAGCATCTGTAGATTGGTTGGTTATGGGCAAGAGATGTGATTTCCTTAGAGAAGGAGAGCTACTACCAGTGTTAACAGCATTTACTGAACTTGGAGTAGATGCTACAATGCCTAGGGGAAAATCATATTATCAGAGTTAGAGTACTTCTAAGGAAACAAATCCAAAATAATACCATTCAGGTTTTCCACATGAAAAGCAGCAATATAAGTAATAGAAATAAATAATAAGTGTTATCATATCACAAAAGCATAAAGTAATACATTATCTTAATTTTTTGAGATTAAGGGATTGTAAAATTGTTTTCTAATTAAAGCATAGAATCTGCAAGCAGTTATTCATCTCATTATCTTAAAGCCTATTAGCAGGCCCATTGATGTCTGTGGGCTGTAAGTACATTTTGCTGAGCTGGTACCACAAGGAATTATTTCAGCCAGTGCCAAACTCCAGCTGCTTGCAGCAGAGAGCTCAGCAGCAGTGCAGGAGCTCAGGGGGGGATCATACAACCACTGAGTCTGGGCTGCAGTCAAAACAGGAAAATAGAAAATGGTATAAATAATGCCATTAATTGTTTCTCAAGAGGCTGGGGAGGTGCACTGACAACAAGTGACTTGCTCTGAGAAGCAGGAGGGTCTGAAGTTTTAGGTTTTGGCAGGCGAGTGAGGACAGCTGAGGGTGAAATAGAGGAAACACAAGGGAATGTGAAATAAATACTCTGCATTTCAATCAGAAAGAGGTATCAGGTTTATTTTCTCCAACAGGAGGAGAAGAGCCACTCATGCAACAGAAATTCCTGCAGGTGACTCCTGCAAAGGAGCACAAAGTCCTTCAGGAACATCCTCAGCACTTCCCAGGGTGAGACCCACATCTCTTACCTTCCTTCTTTGGGCTCAGCCAGTGAGGGATGACAGTGGCAAGTCCATGCTGGGGGTGGCAGCTGTAATAACCCTCCAGGTTTACACAGCTGCTTTTCTCAGGGCAAGCATTGAATTCAGCATAGGAGCACTCATTGACATCTAGGAAGAACAACACACCTTGCACAGATATTGGGAGCAGCATCAAGATTGATCTGAACTGTGTGTAGACTCTGGCTATGATAAATTCAGTGTAAATCTGCAGTAATGCTGTTAAAGCCAATCTGGATGTTACCACCCTAACACTTTTTACCCCAATTCTTTGGAATTAGAGGACAATTGGGGGCAGCTCCTGCTTACACCTGTAGGATACCATCCAAACCTGAGATGTCAGCACAGGAGGAAGGAAGACTACCCACTGATTTCACTGAAAGCTGGACTGAGCAAACACAGAATAAGAATAATGCATTTCAGGAGTGAAAATGTTCAGACAACTGCAGAGCAATAAGTAGCTTGACATAATTTAAAATTAATATATTGAAATGTTTATGTAACATTTTAAAAGTATGTAGTAATGTGCTATAGTAATTAAAAGACTATAAATATTACTTGTTTCATACAAGGCACTGGATAATATATTTGCTTCCCAAGAAACAGGTTTTTAAGAGCCTGTTTAATAAAACTAAGGATTGTGCTACAAATATGCATATATTTGCTTTTTCATCTGAAAACTATGTTACTGGGCGAAAATAAATTTGAGGGTTCAGAGGCATTCCCTTCCAAACTATTCACTCCAAAATAATCATTAACTCTCCATCCTATAACAGAAAGGTCAGGGCTGTGTTTGCAAAGTTTGCAAGATCCTCTGTGCTACCTTTAAAAGCAAATTAATGGTGATATAAATGAGATCCCAAGTGAAGAGGGACAAAGCCCCTAAAATGTGACAGGATTACAGTCAGTGACCTTGCACTTGTGTGTCAATCACTTCATACACGCGCTTCACCATGGCCTGCAGGGAGGAGGAAACCTCTGCCAGAGGAGCTGGATGGTGCATGCCCAGGAGAAGCTGGGAGGCCACTGTCCCAGCGTAGATGTCCCCACGGTCACTCTGGATGTGGTGCACAGAGGCATTCAGGGGCTGCAATGCGCCAGTGATCTGGAAAACAGGGCAGCAGACACTGGAGCACCTTGGTCATTTCCCAGCACATGAATTATGCAGGGCTTATTATCATAATCTGAGTGTAGGAAGAAATTCAGAAACCGTGGCAAAGTGGTTTAGGCCTGTATTTATGCAAGATGAATGCTTATTTTCACATTTCACAGAAGATTTATGTTACAGAAATGCCAAGTTCAGGGGGGTGTGGAGCTGATCTCAAAATGCTTTGGCAGAAGGAGTGTCCTGGGTCTGCCTTCCTTAGCAGACACCTGTCTGTTCCAACTAAGACAAGGAGTAACCCAGGAAGAGGTGGGAAAATCCTACTTTGCAAAGTCTCAGTGGATTACAATAAATTACACAGGCCACTACAATTCACCTGCAATAAAGCTGTCCAACACTCATTACTTTGAACAGCTAAATGGACTGCTGGCAGAGGGAATAGAAAGAAAAAGAGGAAAAGCAATAGACTCAGGATGAGGAAGTGGATTACAATAAATTACACATGCCACTACAATTCACCTGCAATAAAGCTGTCCAACACTCCTTACTTTGAACAGCTAACTGGACTGCTGGCAAAGGGAATAGAAAGAAACAAGAGGAAAAGCAATGGACTCAGGATGAGGGGTGGGATTAAGAGAGACCCCAGAGAGACCAAGCCATCCCAGCTGAGAGTCAGGAATGGGAGAATGGATCTGCTGGTGGGCTGAGCATTAAGAGTCAGTGGAACAGACAGCAGGACACTCTGAGGAGCAGCTCATTGAACAGCTTCACCTCAACTCCCCATTTCAAAGTGTTTGACTTTCACACTGCTTGTTTTAGACCAAGATGTAAAAGCCTTGGTGGATCTTTGCCCCTACTCCCCACTACACAGCAACAGGACCAGGTTTCCTGCTTTTTTAGGATATGAGAAGGGGAAATCAGATGGGAGGAAGAATGACACCAATGCTGCTGTTATCATTTCTGTTCTCCTGCCCAGTGCCAGCAGGTTATGGCAGATAGGTTTGTCTTGGGAAGGCTTAACTTAAAATTCCATATCGTAAAAGCCTTGGTGGATCTTTGCCCCTACTCCCCACTACACAGCAACAGGACCAGGTTTCCTGCTTTTTTAGGATATGAGAAGGGGAAATCAGATGGGAGGAAGAATGACACCAATGCTGTTGTTATCATTTCTGTTCTCCTGCCCATCAGTGCCAGCAAGTTATGGCAGATAGGTTTGTCTTGGAAAGGCTTAACTTAAAATTCCATATCAAAAACATCATGCTTTGAAGGTCTTGAAGTCTGGTCCCAGTCTGTCATAGGCCCAAAACCTGAACTGAAACAAAACTGGAGCAAGCACTACTTAGCAGGAAAACCCCCTTCATTTCAGTATGTCTTTAAATTGCCCTTGGAAGAGACCTGAAAAATTTGCTAAAGAAGGTGATACATCAATGTGACTTGGATTGCTTAAGGATGCAGCTGACATTCAGTAATCGGAAATACAGAAATAATCAGAAATAGAGCCAAAAAATATCAATGGGTCAGAGCAAAGGGGGAGCAAAGAGTGGCCCCTGAGTAACAGAATCGTGGGCACAAGGAGGGAAGGGTTTGTTTTTGTACATACCACGGAGTGCAAAAGGCGGGAATGATTCAGAAGGTGGGAATCCACCCGGATCAATTCATTAAAATCCATTTTCACAAGCACTGTCACGTTGTACCAGAACATCCTCCCTGCAGTGTAGGAAATAAAACAGCCAAGTCATCTGAGGTCTGCTGCTACAGAAGCAGACAGAGCTTCAGGGAGGCTCTGAGGAAACCAGGCAAGATTTCACTTGGCAAACGTTGAGGGGCCCACAAACAGCCCAGCTTGGCCTCGTTTGCCATATGCCACAGGCAGAGGAGCCAGGGAAGGTTTGCTGGACCCACAGCATCCACACACCACTCAGTGCTCAGGGGTGCAGGCACTGAAGCCGAACCTCCTGGAATCCATCCAAGGCACAATCCCGTATTTGTTTTAGGAAGAGCTATGGTAACAGTTTTCCTGCCCACTCCCACCCTCAGGAGGGAAAATTAAGGATATTTCTATTAGAAGCAGTGTTGAATTTATCAGTAACATACCCTCTGGCATGGGATCCACACAGCCTGCTCCTTTGGATGAGCTGCAGCATTTTTTCAGCCCTGGACATTCAGTATCGAACGTGCAAGGATAATCAAATGTTTCCATATCCTTCACTGGACAAATACCAGGTCTTGAGGCAAATACACTGGATCTATTGAGTGCTAAGTAACAAAAACATTTCTGAGAACAAAAATACAGAAAGTTTTTTCCATAAAGTTGTGATATTTAATTTATACTAAACACCTCCTCCTCATTTGAGAAGCGTGTCTGTTCTGAGTTTTTAATGGGAAGAAAACAGCAGCCTAAAATATCATTATTTCGTTTCAAGGGTATAAATATTCTCAGATCTTTCTCTTATCCATGCCATTTCTGTTATAGAAATTTTGAGTTTCTAACTTTCCATTAATAATTATGGATGGATGGGCTCATAGGTAAGTTTCTAAATGTGGAGATACTGAAGCACTGAGAAACAGAAAATGTGCCTGATATCACCTGTGACTAATCCAAATAATGTATAATGATCAAAGAAAACAGGTACTGTGTGAGATAGAAGTTGAGAACTTTCATTTAACATTTTGTGGCACAGATTTAACCTCAGTTACAGTAATTCTGTTCCAGCTGGCCACTCCAGGAGGTTGGTGGCCCATGCCAGAGAGCCCTGCAGAGAGGGCAGCTGAGGCAGGAGGTTGCTGCTTCACAAGCCAAGGGTAGACAGTGGTTCTGGGTCAGAGCCAGCACAAAATCTCTCCTAGGGAGGAAAGGAGAAAATATTTCCAAGCCCTACAAACTCACTTCTTTACCCACAATCTCAAACACAGCTCCAAGTAATGCTCAGCTCTGGTTTTTCTAAGCAACCTGAAAGAAATCTCTTTTCCATTTGTTTTGCACCTCCAGTTCTTTCATCCTTTACTGAGCAATTGAAGTCAGCCAGGAGGAAAATGAACCTGATTACTGCAAGAGAAACAGTTGTGGTGCAGGAAAACCACATTTGACGTAATAAAGCCCATAGCAAGTGAAAGGTCCACAGCAAACTATAAATCTATTCTGAACAGTCAGTTCTGTGGGTTTACAATTTCTGTTATCCCAAGGCTCTGGATGAGAGTAAATGAGAGGTTTCTGAGAAGCAGGAGGGGATATTGAATCTAGCACTTTTGGCCTCAGCTAAGCTTCTTAGCCAGGGAAATTATCTTGATTAACCAAGATTTAAATTGAATCTACATATTTTGCTGCCACATGCACGTTCCAGGTTGTCCTCTCTCTCTGGGGCTGGCACTCCACAGGTGGTTCCCCATAACAGGTCCTTTTCCCAGAAATATCCCCCTTGATTTTCAAAGCCACATTCAGCTGTGAAACAGCCTTGTTTGCCCTTAGCTGAGTCTCACACACATTCCCAGCCTCAAGTGATTGCTCCTTCTCAGCCTCCTGTGCAGGGAGCTAAGCAGCCTCTCACACTGGATTTTGCACAAACATGAGCACCAAGGGATTTCCTTGTGTTAGAAAATTCCATGTTCACCAGTGCTCTGTACTGTTCAAACCAGGCAGCTGGACCCAGGCATGGAAATTCCTCCAGCTCTGAGATTCAAGTGCAGTTCAAGCAGGTTTGAGGTTCAAAGCAGTTCTTTTTCCCACCTGTGTCTCTTTTGTGTGTGTGTGTTTAACTGCAGTGTAAATGGTTTAATGAGTCCCATGCAATCTCAGAAAACACTATTGAATCCTGGCTGGGTGCCACAGCAGCCATTTATCTGAAATCAAAAGGTCATCTTTTTCAGATCAACGGAAACAGAGATGGATTCACTTCACATTTCTGCCTAATTGTACCAGATGCACTTTGGAAATTCAATTTATGCTCTCCCCTTCAATCATGCTGGGGACAGTCACCGACCAGGCAAGCAGTGAGGAGCAAGCCAGCCAACTCCTGTGTCATTTGGATGAAGTACAGGCTTTTCTCCTCCGTTATTTACATAAATGTATGGAAGCAGAACTGCAGCTTAGCAACCAAAGGTCACTTGCCAGCCTGCCTCTGGACAGCTGCTGGATCTGCTGTGGCTGCAGGATGGGACATCTCCCAGGAGATTGATGCTGAGGGACAACATTAGCTCAGCCATAACCCCCTTCCCCTCCCTCCTTCCATCTGGAAGGGATGGTTTCTTCCAGAGGGTGTGGTGGAGCCAGGGACCAGCACCCTGCATTTGTCTCAGGTATCAGAAGGTGGAGACAAATCGATGAAATTACAGAGGAAGCCCCTGGGAAAGTCTGTTCCCAAGGCAGGCTGGCAGTTTGCATCACACAGCCCTGGGTTTGGGGTCTCTGAGCATTGCTAGGCTTTACTTGCTCAGGTGGATGTTTTCCATCCTGATTGCCTGGGGTTTAATTGGGATTTGTGCTGATCCCAATTAATCAAATTGGGATCAAATATTTAACACCCATCCTGGCTGTTCCTTGGAGGGGAGAAGGCTGAGGGGGATGTGGTCAAGCTTTACAAAATCCCAAAGGCAGGGGGCAAGGTGAAGTCAGAGCTGGTTTTCACCAGAGCCCACAATAATAACATGAGTGAAAGAACTCACTTCTTTACCCAAACAGGAGGGAACTTCTGCAATTTGTCAGCACAGGGGATGTGGAGACAGACAGCTTTAGAGGGCTCAAAAAGGGACAAGGCAATTCCCAGACAGGATTCCCATCAGCAGACACCACGGAGAACAGGCAGGGATGCCAACAACCCCATTTCTGCTGGGGACACACAAGGGACACAAACTGCAGGGCAGCCAGAGCCACCTGCTTCTGGGTGCAGTCCCACAGGACATTCTGGCACCTTCCCACCCCAGGCTGATGCTGCAGTGCTGCCCATGTGTGACACCACTGTCCCCTGGCTTTCCTGGGACAGCTGTGGCCAGCTGCTGCTACTGTGGTTACAGCCAGCATGGGAACATCTGCATGCCAGCTCTGGAAGTCCCAGCCCTGCTGAGGAGCTGCTTGGACACCTACAATGAGCTTTATTTTTTACTTTGTTTTTCTGAAAACCTTCAGAAATTGTACACACAGGGCATACTTAAAGCCTGACTTTAACATTGCAAATCAAGTGCTCTCGAGAAACTCCACAATTAAAGTTGTCTTAAGCCTTCTTATTTTAAGGTATTTTTGTATGTGTGTGCTTAAAAACCAGCCTTCATCATGTGCTGATGCACTCTTTCCCTCCCTAGCTGGGGATCAGGCAGGGTTAGATGGCAGATAAGGAGCTCTCTGGTTTCATCTTGTGCTGGAAAGTGGGCAGCAAGCCAGCCACCAGGAGAAATAACCACAGCATCCATTCAGGCAGCTGGAAACGAGCCTGGAGAGCTGGATCCTATCTCTACCTAAAAGACAAGATGCTGGGAGAAGTTTTGTTTGGTGAAACAACCTTCAGGGTTTCACAGGCCCATGAGCCCAACCTGCAGCCCTGTGCCCCAACCATACAAGTTGTTCAAAGCAGCACTAAGCACCATGAAAATCAGAATAAATTCATGAAAAAAATTAAAACTGCACCCAAGTTGTCTGAAAGCACATCTGAAACCACCCCAGAGTGGTTTGATCTCAGTTTCTTTGCAGCTCAGTTGCCCATCTGTGAACAACACAGAAGCTCCCTCGCTTTCCACAGCCTTTGTGAAGACAAATTGCTGCCTGTGAATCCCCCAGGATTCACCTTCAGAGGTGATAAATAATTCTCTACTCAGTGAGAGGCTGAGCAGAGCTCTGAATGTGGAGGTCAGGATGGCACACTCTGGGGAGCTCCTCAGAGGGGCTCCAGCATCCCTGGGCACTGGGAAATGTGGTCCCTGGGGCACTGCAGAGCTGGGTCAGGTAATGAAAAGAGTTCACCTGCATGCATGGGCAAAAAGAGAGAAAACAAAGGTTGTTTTATTTAATTCTACCTTAAGAATTCATTCAAGCACTTCCTAACTTTAGGATATTTAACTTTCCAGCTGTTATTTAAAAAATGTCAAAGTCATTTGTGTGTGCACCTGTAACACAATCCTGATGGACAGCCACACAACTAGTGAGAACTACCAGAGCAACTTGACCAGTGGTCTAGAGTAAAGAAATAATAAAGGCAGGGCCTGCCATGTCCCAGGCAGGGGTAAATATTTCTTTCTAGGAAAAGAAGGTGAGGAGTGGCCAGGAAAGGTCATGGAGACCTTTCCCCCCCTGGCAGGATGGAGAGCACACCAGCATGGATAACGTCAAGAAGAAAATCAGAGTAGTTCAGCAGCGTGCTGTGCAGTAATTTCTGCAGTTCCAGTTTCTCTTCTCATCATTTATTTAAGACTGTGTCTAGACAGCGCATTACCATTCACAGAATTTATGACTAATGCCCTGAAAAGCAAAGATACCGGAATAATGTAAACATGGAAATCACCTAGAAGCCATATAAATCCTTAAATGGTTTTAAATATTCCCAAGTTAACTTTTATAGGAAAAAGTGTCAGGGTGACCACAGTATTTCATGGACAAACTTGCCCAGAGTGCCCATCAACAACATGGCAAGGGCAGGGTGGAAATTCTGCAGCTAAGCTTTACAAGCGATTCACAGATTTGTTCATGTTGGATGAAACAGAATCATCAACAGCTCTCAAGCCTAAAATATCCCTAGAGATGCTTTTATGAGACAGAATTATACTGGGGAAGAAATATTTCAAGCGTTACCAGGATGCTTTTTTTTTCCACACAAGAAGATGGTCTTGACTTTCAGAGGTTCAGAAACACCTGAATTTCTTGTGCAAACAGTGACAATCATGGTGGCATTTCCACATTTAGCTGGCACAGCTCTTTCCTTGTGCTACAGAATTAAAAAGCCATTTTCTCTGATCGCCTCTCAGTCTTGCCATTTGATACTTACAGGCACACATGTATGCACATGTCTGTATATCCAAAAGACTTCACTGAAGTAACTTTTCAACCATAATTAGATCTACTGGAGATTTTCCCCAGCGTGGAACTGATGCTTGGAAAATAGAGATGATCAGCAGCAGGTCCTTTGCCTGTCTGACAAATCTGCTTGGGCACACAGTAATCTGCAGCTCAAATTCTGCTTTGCTGGGACTCCACAACAGCCAAACAATAGCAGGATACAGCAAATTAGGAATTGTTATTTAATTTATCTTCTCTAGCAAATATTTTTGGGAACAAATAAAACATATCAACCATTTTTGTATTCCAACCCTTCTGTTAAAATCCTGATAAACACAATATTCTACCTGTGACTGTGGAGAAAACACCTGGGGGGGAAAAAAAAAATGTTTGGAAGTTCTTTTTTCAATGCTCTGAAGCAACTTAAATGTGGGATGAGCACATTGTTCTTGACAGATCCCATGACAGGACATATGGCTCATCCCCCCTCGTGCCACGGTACATGATCCACTGCAGGAGCAGGTTTGGGGACATTCCCACAGATCTGAGTCACCCAAGTCTTATGACTAAAAACAAGGGCCAGGGCTGCAACAGGACCTTTCCTTTCAATCTGCTGTTCCTGTGTGAGGTTATGTAAATGGCCAGGTCCATACAGAAAAGTGGAAATAGGGAAAATGCAATGTCATACTGAAAATAGGAGACAAAATTACGTCCTGCAGAACTTTTCTGGATGACAGAACAGTTCAGTGCTGGTTTAGATAACTCAAGATGCCTGCTCAGCTTAAAAACATCTAAATTTATCCATTGGAAAAATAAAGTTCCTTTTCCCCAAGGAATCCCCTCCATCTAGGCCTTCTGATAAAACTGGGAATTTCTGATTGACAGCTGGTAACCCTGACGTGGAAAGGGGAAAAGCTTCCATCTGGAGACAGAGGTGGTTGAGTCTTCCTGAGCAGAGTTTTATTAACACTCAGATGTTAAGTCACGTCCACCAAAAAGTTCACCAGTTCTCAGACCTCCCACACAGTTACAGGTATCCAAGGAAGTCCTAAGAAAATGGATCCCAGTCTAGTTTTGGTTGGAAAGAATCTGGTATCAAGTTGCCCTGAGGTCACAGGCTGTTTTAAAATTGAACCAAAATTGGGTTTGCACTCTGGGAACAGACCCTGCTCCACATCAAAGGAGATGTTATCCCAAGTGCATCCTGAATTACTTTTGAGGAGAAAGCTCCTGGTGTAAATGCAGGCAGGCTCAGAGCAGACCCTGCACCAGACAGGGAATTATTGCTCTTGGCCAGGGATACTGGCCTGAATCTGGACAGGTAATAAGCCCTTGGAGGGCTAACAAGCAGATGCCTTCCTCAAGCAATTTAGTGAATTTGTGACTAGAGATGGCAAAGAGAAAGAATCAGGAGCTTTAATCTGCTATGTCTACTCCTTGCCATGTTGGACAAAGTTTACTGTACATGATTTTACACTCATTTATTTCAGTGAATAGCAACCTATGGCCCAGAACTGAATTAAGCCTTTACACATCTCAGCTGAAGTGAATCTTCTTCCATAAGAAGCATTTATTTCCTCTCTTAAACTGACTAAAACTTACCTAGAGAGCAGTAGAGTCCAACTTGCTCATATCCTTCACAGCAGTCTGTGACAGTGATGGTTTCAGGGACTTCAACACTGTGAAACTCTGTTCTGTGGTGTGTCTGGGGACACACCATCCAGGGGATCCACCCTCCACAGGATGTCTTCTTCTCATAGGACTTCTGGTAGGCAACCATTTTAAACACACTTTTGGTCAGGGTGTAGTTGCACAGATGGTACCCTAGCGAAGAGAGGCCTTTTTCTAGGAAACAGAAACAGGGAAGAAAAGGATCAGCAATAACTTGTCACCCTGATGGAATTTGGCTTCTTTTTTCTACCTCTGTCAAGGTTGGGATTGAAGGCACTTGAGATGATAGTTCATGTTCACACTCAGGTATTCATTTACTGCCTCACAGCAGTGAGTTCTGCAGCATTTCATTAGCAAGGCAAAAAATGGTTAACAATCTCTTCTTACAAGGTCTTTTAAGGCTAAACTATCCAATTAAGAGATGACACTTAGATTATTTTCCCTTTTAACCCAATAACGGATCACTCGAAGCCCTCAATGCAGACTTTTTTGTCCAATTACAAAACACCACCCAAACCCATGAAGAAGAAAGAAGAAGAAGGAAGAAGAAGGTAAAGAACAACCTGCCTTCGCCCTAAAACCTCCATCTTGCTTCATATTTATTACTATATTCTAAAATCCCAAACTTTAAGTTTTCCACCTTTGATATCACACACTTCTAACCAATTACACACACATAATCCCAGTGCTATCAATCAGTTTTGGAAGTCTTTTCCACAGCCTCAGGTCAAACACAGTGCTCCCCTGGGAGTCAGAGTCTGTCTGTACAGAAAATCTAAAACTCTCAGCATCCAGAACTCCAATACCACCCCAGAGCAGAAGTTCCCTGCAGTACCCAGTAGAAAACAGTGTTATAAGAAAGCAGAACCAACACAGATGAATGATTTCCAGGAAAGCTGACACTGGGAAGAACATCGCTTCAAAAAACAGACACAAGAAAGAATTGATGGTGACTGCTTGTCATAGGCTTCACTTTGGTCATGAAAGGATGAAGATTGGCGGAAAATTCAAAGAGCTCTTGGTGCCTTCAGGTATGAGGCAGAAAAAGGGCAATTTAACTCAAGTTAATATTAAAGAAATGTACATATGCTAATATAAATGAACAGTAGAGCACAATAGGCACTTCCAGGGCAGAGTCATCCAAGTAGTTTAAAAGCCCACTCCAGCCTCCTGCTGCCAAAGCCTTCATCACACCCCACTGACTATAAAGGGAACAAAGGGTGAGGAACTCATGGGCAGATGAGTCACAGTGGATGTCTGGAATAAGACATCCTTCAGACATCACCCTGGGCTAAAACTGGGTACTCATACATCACTGGGAAGCACTTCCAGGTATCTGACACAAAAGGTATTCCTGGAGATCCTGCACTGCCTCTCTGCATTTGTGGCAGACCTTGTTGATCAGCCACTGGAAACCTGCAGTGCTTCACTGACTTTGGGTACAAACAAAGTCAGTGATAAGGTCACTAAGTGCATCATTTCACACAGGTCTGGGGATGGGACTCAGCCTCCAGAGTTCTGAAACCATTTCTGATGAGGAGTGAATTTGTTAGGTGCTTTTCTTAAAAATACTTCTTGAAATACTTCAGCAGGGATAGGGGGAAAAAAACAACACCAAACAACAGAGAGGAACCCCAACAACAGCAACAAAAGCAGATGGAGTTTAAGAATTAGCAGTAAGCAACCTACAGTCGTGTCCCAGACATCAGGCTGGCTCCTAATGAGATGTTATAGAAGCCAGAGGGGCTGAGTCACCCTGTGTCCCACTTGGGAAACAGATCGGATGGAATTCAAATGCCTGTATCATCCTCTAGCCAAAGCAGAAGAAACTTTAATAAGGATAAATATGAATTAGCTGCAGAGATTCAAATAGAGCAGGACTGTTTTCTTTTTTTCTGAGGGCAGCGGGGTCAGCCAACAGACAGACTGAAGCTAGCACAATACACACAACAGGCATACAGTAAAAACATTTACAGCTAATCTTATTTGTACAACTTATCTCCTGCCTGAAAACATGAAACGTGTCAAAAACAATTCAAAAAGGAAAAAAAAATAGGCTTTTAGGAGTTATCACAGCTAAACAAAAGCCATTTGTGCAATTGGAGCAGGACTAGGAAAACAGCTTTGGAGAGGAGGATCCATTTGCAGTGCAGGGATGGTCCAGAAGAAAACACGGAATAGACTTGGTGTCCAGAAATGGCCTCTGGAAGCCCAGCCCTGCCCTGCCTCACTCATCTGTGCCTTCCTCCTGCAGCCAAAGGCAGAGCTGATGCTGGGCTGTGCTCCAGGCAGTGCCAGTGAGAGCCAGAGAGCTCCCAGCAGGCTGCAGGGGCTCGGTGCTGCTGCTCGGAGCAGGTCAGCAGGAAAACACCGAGAGTGGGAACCCCACTCCCTGCTTCTCCCTCCCGGCCAGCCTCCAGCAGGACACCTCTGAGTCTGCTCCCTGGGGCTCTGGGGACAGCCCAGAGGTCTCCACACCCCTGAGAGGCACCAGGCTGCTCTGTGTCCCTAAAGAGGGAGTACAAGGAGGTGCTCAGGAGGGACAGAGGACACCCAGCTCAAACCCAGAGCCAGGAGAAGAGCCCAAAGGCTGGGATGGAGTTCTGAGCAGGACACGGCTGTGCAGGTGGAAATGAAGAAGTGAGGCACAGAAATCAGTTATCCTGTAACTTTAGGATAGCTCTCTGGGAGAATGGGAAAGAAAGAAAATGTGGGTTCTGGAGCAGGAATCAGAGCTCAAGGGCTGTTTTTTATTCACTGTGTTTGATCCATTAGCACCTCACATGAGGCACAAGTGCCTGACAAGAAGCAGGCAGCTGTCACTGCATTTTGGAAAGCATTCCCTTGCCATGTGTTAAGACTGCTCCAAGAATACCTTTCTCTGCAAATGCTCCTAGGCATGTAGGTGTGAGGGAAAAAAAAGTATTGCTCCAGCTTTTTTATTTGTTTTCAGAATTTTTTAAAAAAATTGTTTGCAACCTGAATGGCTAAATAACCAGAGTGGAACAGAATTAATACCTAAATAATTTTGGTTATAGTCTTTCCCTGGAGAAAGTGCACAAACATCTGTTCTGACAAGGAGCAGGACAAATATTGTTCTATGAAAATAAGAAAGAGAAACGCCTACATTAAGGAATCAGACTGTTATAGTACAAAATCAGGTTTGAGGGGAGTAGGGCAGGTGAGAAGCAAGACCTCAGCCTTGTTCCTCATCCCCATGATCCCTCCTTTCCTCCAGAGCTCATGTAAAGCCTGGCAAGAGCAAAGCAGGGACTGGAAGGGAAAAACTGAGTAAGAAGGGCACTGAGGATTCGTGCTGTCCGTGCAGAGCTGAGGCTGCAGCACTAGAAAGCTAAAAATTCCGGTGTCAGCTGAGCTGGCTTAGTCTCTGCAGCAATGTGCAACATAAATACAGGTATGAAACTGAGAATAAGATGGTGTAGAATTAGACACAGTTTATAATTGGAAGCTACAGCTGTCAGAGCAGATATGAAGTCATATTTCATACTTAAACACTGATACTACGTACATATATATATATATATATATATATATATACATACACACTAGGTATAGAATGAGGCTGCCAAAGCCTAAAGAGAAGCTCTGAGATGAGGCTGTGGTGGTACAAAAAGATGCCCTCAGTGCCAGAAGTTGGACTGAAGGTGTCAGGGAAAGGTGCAGCACCACCAACCTCTGCCCCATCCATCACTTCCAGACCGTTCAAAACAAGCTCTGACACTCACAGAGTTCAATTATTTTGCTGACAGCAGTTTGCTGCTGAGCAATGTGGCTTGGATCAATTTGGGCTCTTTAGCAAATTGGCTTTCTGTTCTCATTACTCCCATCTATGGGATTATGGCACAGTCAAATGGAATTAAAATGCACTGGCTGTTGTTTTCAGTGACTCAAAGCTGCATCAATGGCACAGCAGAAGGCAGTCACCTGCCATTAGTATGGATATGTCACCACTGTCACTTCTGGATCTTAGATTTTGTCTCAGAAACCACCAGCTTTCAGCACCATCAGGGACAAGATCAATTTTTTTTTTTTAATGTAAAGAGCATAAACAATTAAAACAAGTCCTTTATTAATAGGAACAAACACTGAGAGGAAAGCCTGGGAGCAAAGGCTGCACAGGAACAGGCTCCTTGGAGCTCAAGGTTAAACCCAGATCAGAACTGAGGGCATGACCAAAAAACAGCAATATAAAATGCTTCATAGCATTTATGCCACAGACAGAGCTGCAATTTCTGCAAACTTCACCAGTCAGGTGCCAAAGGAGCCTCAGTGAGCTGGGATCTGCAAAATCTTTTCTCACTGGAGAGCAGTCAGACTGAAAGACAAGCCCCTTTCTTGTCTTGGCATAACCTTAAAAATAAACTGTTGGATTGGGTTCATGGAGAGCAGATTCAAGCTCAGTTTTGAAATGCAAACTCTCCAAAACATGAATGAAAAAAGGATTGTGGGCTCGATTTTTCTACAAATTCCAAATTTTAAAGTCAACACCATTTACTTTAAATGGCTCTGGGATGGGAGTTCTATTGGCCCCAATCTCTGTAAACATCTTTTCAGCTGTGGCTTTGACAGAGTAACAGAAAAGTCTACAAGGTTCTAAGAAATATGGTTTATATTTAACTGAGACTCACAAAACCACATAAGTAAAGAAAAGCAATGAAGAGCAGTCAAAAATCATAATATTTTCTCATTTAAATGAATCAAACCAGAAATTAGAATAAATTAGGGGTTCATTTAGCAGTTACAGTTGGATTAAGGTTTTTCAAAATTACAGCCCATACCACAGATGAAATTTAAGCATGTCTTCTACAGCTTCACCTTATCCATCCCCAGGAATTTGCCAGGCACATTTCCTGCTAAATCTTTTTTTAAAGACAATTTTCATAAAAATTTGCACAATACTGAAGACAAAGCAGAAATTCTCCTTGTTCATTTCTGGCACAAAGGAAATGAAAAGGATTTTTGCCTGGGGATGAAAGGTTGGAGACAAAGGTTGCGTTTTTGCTTGGTTAGATTTTCTCTGTTCAATTA